ACACGATCGGCACCAACTGAACCTGGAGAGAGTAACGCGGAGTTAATATAGACACATTGTGCAAGCCCTATAAGACAAACAGAGGAAAATATTTTTGGAATTTATTCTCAGTGGAAACCTTCGTTTGTGATTCACTTTTGTACAATATATCATCAACAACATATTCACTATTTAGTAAATGAATGGAGATTAAAATCTCATTTTCGAAGTTTAGATCAATTTACAAATGTGTTAATTAAGGCACCACTTTGAAGTCCCAGACTTGTGGTGCTCCCATGCAAAGTTTTGTATTTCTTTCTCATTTCTTTGCAAACAAATACTTCATTTTTCATCACAGAAGATGACATACTTAATCAACCAAGTGGCCACTAGAATTACAGTAGGAAATGTGATAATTTTACCAAAAAAATCTTCAGTCCGATTAACCAAAGAAAAGCTCCCTATATACCATGACAAGAAAAACCGATTAGGTGGGGTCAAAATGACAAAATAAATTTCATCTTTTGGGATATCAAATATATTTTTTTAAATCTTTGGTCGATTTATGGATATGATAAGAAATTCACCAACGGTTTCACCTGATCTAAGGATTTCATTCATAAATCTTAAAAAAATTCAGTACATCTTATCTTCTGAAAACCTTAAAATTCAGACTTAAGAACGAAAAATTAAACGTAATAAATGTTCTCCCTTTTAGGTCTCTTTACTATATCCGGTTTCAATAGGACTTTTTTTTTTCTAATTATCTATAAATAGTTGCTAAATGTTACTGTTCTCTAGACAGTTGTCATAAAAATGATAAATTTTTAACTACATGTATGTACAAAAGTGAATCTTGTAAATTTAAACGAGAAAATAAAGAAAGTGTAATAACTATTATTGGATTAAATATTTGTATAAGAGAAAGAGAAAATAATATATTAAACATTATTTTATCAAATATAAATCCCTATTGTATAAACGGCGTTTGCTTGTAAAAGAAAAGATGAACATTTAAAATTCCGTAACGATTCCCTTTAATGGCAATGAACGCTCTGTGGCGGGGTGTGGAATTTCTCCCATTATTCGACCGTTTTATCCTCGGAGGAGGCGAACAGCAAGACAATTTGTCAGCAGTGACAATTTCAGAAGAAAAAACACAACTTTTATTGTCAAGGACCTTTGGCAGCCACTCATTTAATAGTAACAATGCGCTCTATTAAGAGATGGAACGTTTTTTTGTAATACTTAAATGACAAAGTTTTCGCCGTTTAAATGGAAGGATGATTTGACAAAAAAATACTTCGTCGAAGAAGACTGTGTTTTGATCACACACGACGTCGGACAGTGCATGGAAAAATGAAAACTTTTCTATCTATATGTTTTACTTAGTATTCGCATTAATTGACATGAAAATGCTTCTCATGCCCCCAAAGTTGTTAAAATATTTCATGTTGCAATCAACACAGCAAAAATGCTTTTTATTTAATGTATTACTCAATCTGTACAAAGCTTATAAGCTTTTAAATAACCTCGTTATAATGATTTTGATAAATCCATTTTATATCATACGTTTATTGACCAAAATATTTACTGAAACGCAAAAGCCGAGATTTTGAGGAACCCGGAAAAAGGCCTGTTATCTATAGGCCAGACCTTATACGGGGTATAAACTTAAGGAATGTTGGAGGCACCAAGGTAGTCAAACAAAAGTGAAGTTAATAAGTCTGTCGAACTAAATCTTAATTGTCACAACCTCCCACTGAACTCAAAGTCAATATCACCAGACAAAAACAAACACACCACCATAGCTATAATCACCCATAGCTGGGGGATTCCGGAGGATTTCTCATTTTCTGCGGGAGGCATTAATCAGAAAAGACAGTCGATGGGGTCTTGTGTAGAATTAATGTAAAATGCATACCCTTAGTTTTTCACTATTTATTCTAACTGAAACCCCAAGCAAGGGACACTTTTCATCTCTCGTTTTCGTGGAACAAAAATTAAACATTTCTCAAAGGTGAAAGTTTCGTTCATTTTCCTTGTCAGCTCTGTGAATCAGCAAAATAATTATTTACAATTTCATATTGACATACATTTAAGAAAAAAAGACTTCATAAAAACATCATAAAAACTATATTTCCTTTGAATATTGATGCACTTGGTTACCATAACAGGAGGCTTTTGATTACGTAGTAGGACCAAGTTTGATCCCAAAACGGAAAGTGGGGATTCGGGTATATAACGGCCTGAAGTACACGTCAAGCTGGGCCCATGCGGTTATACAAAAAGCCTGCTGAGACCACACTCTCAATATACCCAGCGCCAATCGAAGACCCCAACTTCTGCCTATTTTATGATGTTTGTACTTTTAATTGTTTGTACAACAAATGTATATTTAACCCAATCAATACAATACTGCTTATTTTAATCTTCGGTCAATTGTTAATCAATGTCAATCAGCTGATTTGGCATACAGTTTATGATAGATAAAGAGAAATGCAACGATGACTGTACCCTGAAATTCTTAGATTCTAATTTTTGATACCAATCTCTACTCCCTCTAAATAGCGGAGACACGTTGAATGTTAACGCTTTCAGGACAGGAAACTGATGCTTCTCTTTTTCAAAGGAAACCATTCTTTACAAATCTCAATATTACACGTAGACACAATTTTTCTGGTATATCTACTTAGTTATCTTCAATATCTTGAAAATCAAAAGAAAATAGTTGTCACCGTCCACAGCATGTCACAGGAAATTCGGACATGAGTACGGGAAGTATAAGGCTTGATAATTTGTCTTAATCACTTGGATGGGTTGAGTGTGGGGTTTTTTTTTAACCCCGGTTAGCCTTGTTGTCTTTTTGTGCGTCACTGTAAAAGTAAATATTTACAATGACAAAATTCTAAGATTTAAAACAGTAGGATTCATTAGCCTATGGACATAGAGTCAATTCTTACATGTGGTAACTGATAGCTGTTTAAATCATGTATCAACGAAAATTTCAGTTTCTTGCATATATTCAGAACTTATGTATGTAAGAATAGTATGCAGCAGTATGTCAAATTAGGATCTTTTTATCATTTCGTTAAATACATGACTACGCTAGTATTTCTTTCCTTTTTTTACAATTAAGGAATTTTTTTACTATCGTGTCAGAATGTGACTAGATCTACATAACTTAAAATAATCTCAATATTTGCATTTCTATATCGACCTCATATATCCCAGTGAACTCGAAATAAAAGACTTCACAGAATCTGCCATGTTTCATACTTGGATGTTTTACTGACTAATATTAATGGACAACAAACAACTAAATAGCTTTTCCATTTTCACCTCTCCTTGTTTATGTAGTAATATCCTATCATCTGCAATTGTTTATTGCTCCAAACTGATTCTGGTATACGCAAAAGCTTGTTCTGGGTACAATAAAATTTAAACCAAAACAGGTTACTGATAAATAAATTGATGTGATAGGGTTTTCAACTACTGTAAACCAACTTTTATTCGCATGCGAGAAATATCCGCGAGTTTCGCAACCGACTTTAAATCGCGAATATTAATTGCCGCGAAACTTTATTTTGCTTCATATTTGTAGATTTCAAACTGACGAATCGCGAATAAGAAATGAGGCGAATAATAGTTGGTTTACAGTATCTCGTTTAAAGTCAGCATTTCACCAATTCTGTGGTCTTTATATTGACCTTGTTTGCAAATACAGCCTTTTGTTGGGTTATATCATGACTGAAGTTTCCCACAAATTAAGTCGTTGTTTTTATACTAAATTGAAAATGGATTGCTCCGTTTACCAGATCAATACAGAAGGTTCAAGGCGGGCGTGACAGGTCAACAGGGGATGCTTCCACCTCCTAGGCACCTGATCCCATCCTGATCTGGTGTTTCCAGGGCCGTCCACTATTAGTATTCCTGACTGGATTTATGACATTAGCTTCACCTTTAACATTAAGACCTCTTGAATGACACTTTTCTAGCTTGTGATTCTCCATTGTTAACTAAAGTCTTCTTTTATAATATTTTGACTGACGTTTTCCTAGCTGGTGATTCTCTAAGGTTAACTTGCGTCTACTTTTATGATATTTTGACTGACATTTTTTTTAGCTGGTGATTCTCAAGGGTCAACTAATCTCTATATTTAAGATCTCTTGACTGACACTTTTAGCTGCTTATTCTAAACGGTTAACAATCTCAACTTTTAGGACAGTCTAGCTGGCGATTCAAAAGGTTAACAAATCTCTACTTTTAGGACCATCTAGCTGGCGATTCTGTTAACAAATCTCTACTTTTAGGACAGTCTAGCTGGCGATTCTAAACGGCTTACTAATCTCTACTTTTAGGACAGTCTAGCTGGCGATTCTAAACGGTTAACAAATCTCTACTTTTAGGACAGTCTAGCTGGCGATTCTAAACGGTTGACTAATGTATACTTTTAGGACAGTTGAACTGGTGATTCTAAACGGCTAACTAATCTCTACTTTAAGGAAAGTCTAGCTGGCGATTCTAATCTGTTAACAAATCTTTACTTTTAGGACATTCTAGCTGGCGATTCTAAACGGTTAACAAATCTCTACTTTTAGGACAGTCTAGCTGGCGATTCTAAACGGTTAACAAATCTCTACTTTTAGGACAGTCTAGCTGGCGATTCTAAACGGTTAACAAATCTACATGTATACTTTTAGGACAGTCTAGCTGGCGATTCTAAACGGTTAACTAATGTATACTTTTAGGACAGTTGAACTGGTGATTCTAAACCGCTAACTACTCTATACTTTTAGGACAGTTTAGATTGCGATTCTAAACGGTTAACTAATGTATACTTTTAGGACATTTGAACTGGCGATTCTAAACGACTAACAAATCTCTACTTTTAGGACAGTTTAGATGGCGATTCTAAACGGTTAACTAATCTATACCTTTATGACCTTTTGATATTTTCTAATATGAAGTTTAACCATAGACCTGAAGCAACTAAGGTTGAGTAATCTACAATGTCTAGATCATTTGTTTATGTTTCATGAACATTCTTTATTAAATAATAAAAATCAACAAAACATACATACATACATACATACACAGTACATATATAGGTCTAAGATTTAGTAAACATTGACACTAAGTTTCAAGCTGTAAAACTTTAGTATTTACACTACTAGTAATTAAAGTATCAAAACCTGAAAGGTATCCTTTGTTTTAAGATATGACAGTTTATTTATCACACCTTAACATTTGGATTACAGACAAGGTGTATAAAAAATCCACAAGGAATAAATGGCATAAAGAAATGGCAGCATTACCTACACCAAGCAATGTACATGTGTCCACACAAGTTATAACACTTATCATTCATTGACAACTTAACAGAAAGTCATAATGACTTAGAATCATAGAATTTTGAAATACATCACGTGACTCCATTATGTGTCATGTGACTTTCCTGCCTTTTCCTCCAATGCTTTCTCTAACTTTTCAAACTCTGCCTTGTTTACATCATCCACTTCATCCTCAATCTACAAAATTAAAGTATGAAACAACCATTATAATGTATTTAAATGCAATTTACCGGCATCTATTTTACAGGTAAATTTACTACTGGAATGAAATAGTGTTCAAGGTTGCACTGATGCAAGAATATCGATTGCTCTTGAAAAATCAGTATTGTCTGTTAATAGATTTCCTTTAGGTAGTAAAATTGATTGTTTACCTGTTCGACCCCCAGGACCTCTGGGATGTAGAATTGGAGCATGTTTTGTACACCACTCTTCAGAGTAACCACAGAACTAGGACAGCTGGTACAGGACCCCTGCATCTTCAGTTTAACGATGCCATCCTCAAAACCCTGAATTATCACAATGATTTACCTTAATGTATCATGGTTCAGCTTAACGATGCCATCCTCAAAACCCTGAATTATCACAATGATTTACCTTAATGTATCATGGTTCAGCTTAACGATGCCATCCTCAAAACCCTGAATTATCACAATGATTTACTTTAATGTATCATGGTTCAGCTTAACGATGCCATCCTCAAAACCCTGAATTATTACAATGATTTACCTTAATGTATCATGGTTCAGCTTAACGATGCCATCCTCAAAACCCTGAATTATCACAATGATTTACCTTAATGTATCATGGTTCAGCTTAACGATGCCATCCTCAAAACCCTGAATTATCACAATGATTTACCTTAATGTATCATGGTTCAGCTCAACGATGCCATCCTCAAAACCCTGAATTATCACAATGATTTACCTTAATGTATCATGGTTCAGTTTAACGATGCCATCCTCAAAACCCTGAATTATCACAATGATTTACCTTAATGTATCATGGTTCAGCTTAACGATGCCATCCTCAAAACCCTGAATTATCACAATGATTTACCTTATTGAATAGCAGAGAATGTCATCTATAGTTTTATTAACTTATTATTAATCAATCTTTGAAAAAAAGTCTAATTAGTTTAATACTTGATTGAAGCTGAACTCATAAGATATTTTTCTTGATGATGATCTTTAACTTTTAAAAAAAGTAAAGAACACAAGATCAATGCAACAAATAAAAATTTGTCTTTTTTCCATATCAAAACTGTGACATATTTTAGTCCAATCACAAAAAAAAATTGCAGTTACATTACAATTTTTGCGATGCATCGCTTTTTGGTAACGCATAGTACATGTATTAAGGAATATTATCATAATCAAAAACTTTTATGACAAAATTTCCTTCATTAGTACTTTAATCCGTACCATGTATACAATGTCTCCTCCGTCCTCCTGTACTGTCGGTCTGATCCGGGTGTCCAGTAGTTCTTTAATCATCAACACAGTCTCGTCATCATCTGGGTCAATTGCTTAATAAATAGATATCATTTCTACATTTCCATTGCAAATTTCAGTGCCAATTAAAATTGTCTTACACTGTGTTTACATAGGGGATTAAACTTCTTTTATTCCAGTTGAGAAATATATATTTATTACTTATGTTGATACACCTTTTCTCTAAAAAAAAATAATTTGTCAACAACAATCTAAATTGAATCTCTAAAAATGTTGTAAATATTTGTAATTAAATAAGCTGTAGATGTCAGGCTGATATTTGATAAATAAATGACGTTACAAAAGCAGATTGATTTAATAGCTGTGAACATTATCTGAGAGAATTTAATCTCTAGTAGTTGAAAGAATTACACATCCACATAAAAGCTGTGTTCATATTTCAATATTAATAGAACATTATACTACACACTAGTTTTACATTAGCTAAAGCAATTAAGAGATTAAACTGGCTTTCCCTTGTGAAAAGATTTTTAATTTAATCTTATCTACTGAAATTTGATAAAGCATCTTTTTAAGTCTCCCACTTGTGATCGAGTCCTTGGATAAAATGAGACTTTCACATAAGAAAGACAGACGAGATTAAGATCTCACAATCAAAAGGTAGTGGGGTGTTTACCTGTATCTGTGGAGGGCTGCTCGTCCGTTAGAATGGGCAAATTACTGGCAAAGAAATCCATGATTGTGGCGTAAATGTCTGGCTTCATCAACTGCCAGTCCAAATCATCATCCGCCTGTACAAAACATAAGCTCTTGTTGGAGCACTTACAGATTGGTTTATCACGACATTATTCAAATATCAACTACTCACCTTTGTAACAGTGATAAAATCTGGACCAAAGAATACACCTTTTACTCCATCAATTCTAAAGAGCATCCTAAAAACAACAAATATCTTTTGCAATATATAATAAATTTAATCTATTTTAATTTGAGAGAAAGAGACAGAGCAATGTAAAAACAGGAAATTGGGGGGGGGGGGGAGGGGTTTTTTTCATAACTCTTGCAAATTTTCAAATTCTTCAAAGTACTGTAATGTATTTAATTTTAAGTTTCAGAAGCTAAAAAAAAACTACGTTTACGCCAAAAAAAGTTTGCCCCAACACAAAAATATCACGTGTTACTGGCTGTACACATGCACAAAAATTGATACTATCAACATGGACTCCAATCTAAAGGGCTGGAATGTCGATAGACCTAGGGTTTTGACAGACACGGTGAAGAATAAAATTAGAACATATTCTTTGCTTCCACGTCTTTAGCTTTGTTTTTTTCAGCACAAACTAGGCATATATTAAGTTTATCAAATCTTTCTTCTGCTTTTTTTTTTTTTTTACAAATCTGCCGATTTATTATACAAATTTATGAACAAAATACATGTATGTAATAATGACTCACTTTGTCAAAGAATTTTGAACATCAAGTCCAATGTTAAAAACCTTGAGAGAAGAAGGGGGAATTTTCATTAAATTAACCAGTTAATCAGTTATCTTTCTATTACTAGTTAACTAGTTATCTTTCTAATCAATTATCTTTACCAGATAACAATTACCTTTCTATTACCAGTTAATCAGTTAGCTTTCTATTATTTGAATTAGACGGTAAAAGCATAATAATTTAACACATTTCTTAAAATCTATAATAATATACAAATAATATACAAAAATGTTTTCTTCACAGAAATTATTATTATCATCATCATCATCAGTCATCACTATTAGCTGCAGAACTGTAGCTCTCCGATTAAAATACATGTGTATATTGATAGACCGGAGAGCTACAGTGCCACTAGATAGAACGTTCAATGATATTGTCCTACGGACCCAGTTTAACGATACAATTCGTTTCGTGTATTAGCCTGCAGTTACATCAACATCCTCATTATTATATATTAAGAAAATATGTTAATACTTTGAATAAACAGGTAACCTTAAATTATACATGAATAATATTGAAATAAAATAAAGAATTCTAACATTTTCTGGTCGACATTTTTACACTGCCTGTGAACTTTTTTCCTCTGCTTCAAGGTATGGTCAGGCAAGAATCCTATATTTTTAAATCCATTAACCCCCTGGGTTAAGATAAGCAACTACTTCTCAAATCGTAAGAAACAGAAAAAAATTATCAGAATTCATTTTATATGATCAGGCACAAACTACGTCTCATTAACAAATTTGACCTAGAAACTAAGTATCTGATGGAATGTCATATTCGATACAACTTGGTTTCCATAGTTACTAGTTACTAGGCAGTACAGTAGGTAAAGTAAATTTCCATATTTGTTCGTGTCTTCTTCCTTTCTGAACTGAACCTTATTAGTACGTGGCAGTGGCAGGAATATTACTGAATTATTTTAGGAATGACTCTAATTCTTGGCCAAATTATTCGAGGATAACCTGGTTTGGGTCAGTTTACGCTTTATAATCCGCGAAGCGGCCAAGAATTAGAGTCATTCCTTATAATTTAATTTTAAAATCATTAAATAAATATGGGTGTAAAATTTCGTTGCTTTTTATTAGTTCAAATTTGCCGCTCAATAATACAACCGTAGTAACGGAAGTGATGGGAAGCGAGGGGAGGTAAAAACTGATACATAGGCCTAGCAGCTTGTTTACATGTGGTAAGATCGAATTATTGTTTGAAGTTAAAGGTATATTTATTAAATCTGGAATTTTCCATGAATCCCGAGGACTGGAAATGAGAGGATTGTATGCATACAGATGATTCAGCTGGTTGTCAGGGGGGGGGGGGTGTCCCCATACCAAACCAGGTTATACAGAAATAATTTGTGTTCCTCTTTGGATATTAACCAGTCAGAGGCTAGAATACAAACAAAATTAAATTATATATTGACATTGAAAAAGTGGATTTCTCTAGGAACAAATGTGATCATATCTAAAACAATGGACTTTTTTATTTAAGCTTATTCCCATAATAACGTTTAGTATTCGTAGTTTTTTACTATGAGTCTTAAATTCCATTATGTACCCCTTTATAAAACAACAAGCATTTTTAGAGAGTCATTTTTAGAGAGTCACGAGTCATTTGTTGATGCTAACCGCTAAATAAGAGTAAAAATATTCTCCATATCTTTTTATGGTTCCATTTCCATCAATTTTATGTACTTATCATCTGTAAAATATTCTAAAATTCTGAAAGGTATTCAATGAAAATCAACGATGTAAAATATGAATTTTTTTTTTTAAATTATTTTATTAATTTTTGTTCCATGGTAACAAATAAGCCATATTTCCAATGGACTTTTTGGCAAATTTGAAACATGAAATCTTATACTTCACGTTTATTTCAAAATGGTCAATAACTTGCCTTTTTCAATCTTCATTTCATCCATAACATTCAAGATTTTTGAAAAAATTCTTTATGTTACACAAAGTTGGGAGGATATCTTTGAACATGCGAGCCACATCCCTTACAAAATAGTGCAAATTTTTATAGAGAATGGCTCGTATTTTATTTTACATCTGCTTTTTCAAAAAGGGACTTAGAATTTACTTGTAATTTTGCAAAAACCGGATCCACTTATACATTTTGCACTAGCGTCTCTGATAATTTGATCATCAAAAACAAAATATAACGATATTCGTCTCCTTTCTCATTTTTACTACAAACTGACATTTTCCGGTTTTTCCCATTCAAAATACACAGGTATTAAGTCTATTGTCAAAAAATGACTATATGTGTTAAAGATTGTTCTATCATACATAATTTCAGCAGGCGATCAATGCTCTTCAACTTCTACGAGCGATTTCAAAAGCAACCAAAAAACTGACGCTGAATTTAGAATCAAAAATACAGGGACACCAGAGGGTTTTGTGGCTAAAAATTGTTATAGTAAATAAAATCATTAGGACTCAAAATTCATAAATATCAATAAGACAACGTTACAATAGCTGTTAACATTTTGGGGTGTGGCAAAGGATTTTGACTGAAATTCTTGTGCTCGTACCTTTTTGGTAATTTATTTGCAATCAAATGACTAGAATACGGATGTTTTTATTCTTGATGTTATCTAACGTTTATAATTTTAATGCCTGTTTTTTTTTTTTTGTTTTTTTTTTAATTTTTTTTCTGCAATAATCAGCAACCATGCCCCCCTTATTTACAAGCTTACAATCCACTGGTCCGAAGGTTCTGGGACACTAACCAGAGAAAGTTAAGAGTACATTCGAGTACTCTACAGTGCGCTGGTTGTACTTCATCATTTCAGCAATAAAATTGTTTATTAGTGTTCAGGCTACTTAAATATACATCTCTATGTAAATATACCAACTCGTATTAGGTAGTTGGTTTTTTTTCTTGCGATCGTTTGATGTTACAACTATTATGTTCATAATTCATTGTCTATTTATGGTAACTAGATCCCGGTAATATCAATGATATCCCGACTATACATCGTGATATGCAATCATTCTCTGATATTGCACTATATCAAAATAATCATGAATTAAATTCACAATAAGAACTGGAGAATATATGTCCAATAAATCAATAACTAACCTAATTCTAAATATATTTAGATTTATATTGAATATTTTCATGAAAGATACTCATATTCAGCTGATAATCAGCAAAACGAAATATCGGTCACGGTATCCCAGTGGTAGGGCGTTCATATAAAAGGCGTTGGCTTCGTGATCAAAAGGGCCGGGGTTTGATTCTCGTTAGCTGCAGAACTGTAGCTTTCCGAAGAACATTGACAGACCGGTCTGTGAAGAACATTGACAGACCGGTCTGTCAATTTTCTTCGGAGAGCTACAGCTAGATTCTCGTTCGCCGCGCCGCGTTAACCCTAAGACGTAAACATATAGCTATTGACTGTCCCTTGGCCAAGCGCCCGCATTAGAAGTGAAAATCACGGGTCTTTAGGAGGAGACCTTACAAACCTTAAAAACCGAGAAAAAAAGGTCCCGTGCCACAGTACGTGTTGACACGATGAAGAACCTTCACTGCTCTATGGCCTTGGTCCTAAAGGTCTAAATTTGAAAGCCGTCACCGGTATAAGTGACTTCTTTATATGAGTGAAAAATTCTCAAACAGGACGTTAAACAACGTACAATCAATCAATCAAAACAACATAAATGCGTTTCTTTAAATGATTTTTCATTGGCAATTGGAGAATATCTAGGAAAATACTTGGTTACACTGAAGTGTAAACGCCAACAAAGTACTCATCAATTGCACAGGTGCTTGAGGACAGCACCCACCCACCCCCACCCCCCATTTAGACCCCGGACCGTTTCGACCTCTCTTTCAATGTCAAATCTGTGATATAATCCATACCATCATACCTTCAATTCGAAAATTTACCTAAAACAAATATTTTATATAAAAAAAATTCTACCAAGTACAAGTAGTTTATTTATATGTATCGAATTTTTCAGAAAATGTTTGTTGTAGGCAATCTTTTAAATACGGATTATATCACAAATATGACATTGAAAAACAATTTATGTGAAAGAAGTTGAAATTACCCGGGGTCTTTATGAGGGGGGGGGGGGGGTCCTGTCCTCAATCACCCCTGATCAATTGTCAGTATTGATGAAATATGACCAGCGTGCGCTAACGTATTCTAGCATTCTCTATTTAGTAAAACCGTGTCCGAAGACCCACTAGTTCCAAAGGTCCACTATGCTAATAATCCGATGGTCCGAAGTTCATTGAAATATATTAATTGAAATTACCTAAACCTACATAATATGTAGATAGATAAAGAAAGCGCTTGTTCGCTTCAACTGATTGTGTCCTCCGCTATCAAACAAAAGGCCCATGAGCCACAACGCTCACCTGAGTCACTTTGGCCCTATTCTGCATCAGATTTTTTCCCCAAAATACATGTTTTCCTCTGTATTTTTGCTCTTTTTGTGGCCCCACTCTATACACAGGGGCCGAGACTTGAACAAAAATGAACTTACACTACCAGCAGATGCTTCCATATTAATATGACTCATCATGGATTTGCTCTTGAGAAGATGAGTTTTAAAGATATTTTCCTATATAATCCGTATTGTGCCCTACCCCGGTGACCATGATCTGAACAATATATGATCTACATTACCTCAGGGAGCTTTCAACTAAATTTAATTCTTTTCTGGTCCAGCGATTCTAGAGAAGAAGATTTTTAAAAGTTTTTCTTATTTATTTCATTGTAAAAAATTGATTCCCTTGTGTGGTCCCACCCGATCCCCTGGGGCCATGATTTGAATAATTTAGAATCTACACTATACCTCAGGAAGCTTTCATCTAAATTTAATCTTTCTGATGCAGTGGTTTTTGAGATTTTCCTATATATTTCAATGTAAAACTTTGATCCCTTATAATGGACCAACCCTACCCCCAGGGGACATGATTTGAACAATTTCCAATCTTAACTACTTCAGAAAGTTTTCTCATAAGTTTCAGCTATTCTGGTCCAGTGTTTTTTCAAATAAGACTTTTTAAAGATATTTTTCCAATATATTGCAATGTAAAATTTTGATTCCCTATTGTGGCTCCACCCTACTCCCAGGGGACATGATCTGAACAATTTAGAATTAATACTACCTTAAAGGCTTTCACAAGTTTCATTTTTTTTTTCTGGCCCAGTGGTTCTTGAGGATTTTTCCAGATTCTTCCTATATATTTCAAAATAAAACTTTGATACCCTATTGTGGCCCAACCCTATCCCCAGGGGACATAATTTGAAGAACTTAGAATTAAGAAGCCTCCATATAAGTTTCAACTTTTCTAGTCAAGTGGTTCTACAGAAGAAGATTTTTTAATGACCCTGTCCTATTTTTGCTTTTTCTTGATTATCTCCCCTTGAAATGGAATTTGGCCCTTCATTTTAACAATAATGAATCCCCTTTAGCCAGGGTTTGTACCATCTTTGGTTAAAATTGGTCCAAAGGTTATTGAGAAGAAGTTGAAAATGTGTAAACTTACAGACAGACAGACAGATGGATGATAAACAATGGGTGATCAGAAAAACTCACTTGAGCTTTCAGCTTAGGTGAGCTAAAAAGGAGGTTGTATCATTCTCCTTCTCAACCCACCCCATCCCACACACTTTGGCACATAGTGTAATAAATTCAAAAAAGTACAAAATTTAAAAATACTTCTAACTTTTAAAACAAATTATATATTTAGCATTCTGATAAGAATCTCTTTAATGCACAAACAAATTATGATAATTTAAAAACTTGTAATATCAACAGTTTTCAGTTTAAAATTTAATCACCTTATTCAATCAGACATCAAAGAATACAAAGTACACTAAATAAACCATCCTGAAACTAAGCCCCTGTGCCTTTTTAGTTGAATTTTTTTTTAAAAGTGCAAACACAAATAAATTATTTACTCCTGGTTGTTTCCCTCACCCAACAGAAATTATACAATATCACCATTAACTTATAACATTCCAAGTTCTGTCTTCATAAACAGGGAAATGAAAGTTCCACCACATATGAGAACTAAGAACACGTGAACTAACAACTCAAACATGGAACCGTTTTCTTTAGAAAGGTTATGATAACCATAGCAAAATCTCAAAATTAACATTTTAAGTATATATTTAAATACAATGATCACAAAAACAAAAGTAAATATTGGGGGTTTTTTTTCAACAAAATCAGATATTTCCCCATCCTAAAACTATAACCCAAAGAATATTACTACATGTCATTAACAATAAACGGAACATCTGGGATATCCTACCAACAAAATAAATACAAATGAAGGGCTCTTAAGTTATGGCCAAGACATGATTTCACTTTCTCTGAGACTAACCTGTGCCAATGATCTTTATGATATGATCTCGAGGCTAAATCATGATGTGTACCTTTAGCTCACAGGTAATAACATACTAAAATTTGAACCATCTAAGGATACAGGAGTTTTGGTTAGGACAAGATTTTGTAACAGAAAAATAAAACCACCAGACAAGACAGACAACCAAAACCAATATATTTCCAACTCGTGAAGAGACAGAATTAAAGTTCTTGTTTCTTTGTGTGTAAGAAATAAATGGGTGACATATGGTTATGGCTCCATGCAATAATTACTATAGATTAATTAAGAAGCAAAGTATAACCCCCCCCCCCCCTTTTTACACTTCCAATAGCTCAACATTAAAAATATGCAAGGGCAATTAACTTACAGATTTCATCAAAAAGGTTTATGGAAAACACAACTACCCATTCCTTGACTTAACATGTACAACATACATGTAATGTTTTTATATAGATTGATTTTTTTTAAATGCCATATAGAAATATCTTCTTTACCAAAACAGTAATTAAACGTACATGATTTTTTTTCTGTCTCTTTGTCTAATAATTAGTGAAAATCTATACTAGTAAATGATATAAAATGTAGAATTTATATTGTAACAGCCTATTTTTTAATTATTAATAACCATAAGCTGGAAGATAGAACAGATGGTTTGTTCTGTAATACCATATGCAAATTACTGTAGATTCATGCTTGTTCATTTGGGACCAATGTACCGGTACATGAATTTTATTTATATCCCCACATACAACTATTTAGTCAACATACTGATTCACTAAATTCATAAACAAACAAGTTGTTATTAATGAATTAACATCCTAAATAACCATTAAAACTTGCTTACCTACGAATATTGAACCCCATGAATATTGCAATGATTTCACAGTGTAGTTAGTTTTCATATGACATATTTTCTCTCCAAGTTATTTCCCTTGGCCGCCATCTGGTGATCAACCTGGTAATTTTTCCTCTTTGTCTTACCAATTTTAAGAGAATGTAGCAAAAATATTTGGGAAAAAAATCTTAATAGAATGAAAACTATGAAATAAAGGAGGCTTTAACAAATGTATATTTTTCAGAAAAGCAATGCTTCCTACACCACAATGGCCAGTATAAAAAGTATGAAGGAATATGGGCATGTTGACCTCCAATATGGCGACCAACGGGAAATAACTCTTGCTAATTTAGGTCTACTGAAAACTATCTATTTTTCACACTCAGAACTCAGAACAAACATTGCTAAATTAAAACTAAACATATGTCATAAATTGTGAAAAAAATATCAATGATGAAAATAAACACATTTCACTAAACAGCAGTAATAAAACTAATCAATAAAGACTGTGATAATAAAGTTCCCAAAATAATCATTAAACAAAATGCATGTCAACAGTGCTCAAAACTGTTTTCACCCACATGTAATTTAGTATATGTACAGTCACTAATTGTAGTCCTGGAATACTTCCAAATTGACTGTTAAGTAGGTTTTGGAAAGATAACTCATAAAAAAAATTACTCATTGCTCACACTCACATGCATAATATATATCCAATTCATTTAATTTATCAAATAATTAGCTTACTTGGCCAATGGAGAGCACGCTGATGACTGGGGATTGGGAAAGTCTATGGTGCCACTCTCTAGAACCTGGACGCCAGGAATAAACTTCACACTGTTTGGATTGGGTGTTTCTTGTGTCTGAATAAACATTGTCCTCACTACAAGTAAAACCAATGACAAAACTCTAGGTAGTCAGAAACTTAAAATTACTGTGAAATCATTTTAATTTGGGGGGTGGGGTCAATGCTCATGGGGAAAAAATTTTACTTGTTCATAGGGATGTTGTTTCATGGGTTAATCATTTATACACTAGATTCAATGAATTACCCGTAATACGTTTACAAGAAAAACGTTCATAAGGATGTTAATATCATTGCAATGGGTGACCCAAAATCCATGAACATTGGTCCCCGACAAACAATGATGATTTTACTGTACTGTACTTCTTTTGTAAATTGATAATATATACATACTTCTATGCTCTTACCAATGAACTACAAAGGCTGATATATATAGCCTAAACTGACTATACAAATCTGGGACAATCTCTTGAATTAGCTATATAGCTTAAATTAGCCATATAACTTAATTTAGCTGTTTAAAATAGCTTGATTTAAGTATTTTATCATACTTTTTTTTAAATGTTCATTTTTTTCAGCATGTTAAAAAAATTGCACTTAAATGCAGTGATGATTTTCAACTTCATATTGTTTTGAAAACAATGCATAAAAAAATTATTTATCAAACCACATCTCCTTCATAGACTTTGCACTCTAATTTCTAAAAGTTTTTGGGCTATATATAACAATTGGTTTGTGACCACACAGTGACTTCTTGAATGAAATTAAAAATCATGACAATTCTGGTCAACAGGATATTTAATTGGTAATAATTCACACAATGTGAAGTAATCAAACTTATCCAACCTCACAACACATGAGTATAAATTTACCCAAAAAATGGAAATACATCTCTTGTTCATAGTACAAATATGAGTAGTCATAAACATGCAACATTTTGTCTATTTCTTATTAAAAAGAATTTGAAAAACTGTATTTCAATACCTTCATCAAGCTATTTTGAATAGCATGATAAAGCTACATACCATATGCATTCACCTATAAGAGTTAAGTTTTGGTCCAAAACTCTATGACTGACTTATAGGTGATTTCTAGAAACACTCATATTTTCTGGACAGGAAAATGTAGTGAAAATTTAAGGAATATAAGTCTTTGACAAATAAAATGGTCGAAATAAACAAAATGGTAGGTACTTGATTTGTTTAGAATATAAGGTTAATAAGTATCTATGTCATATCCATAGGGGTGCAACGATACACTAACCTCACGATACAATACGTATCACGGTATTCAGTTCACGATACGATACGTATCATGATACATGACAAGGTTAAAAAGTCTTTCAAGTTTGTATCATATTTTTTTTTAAACCTTGACAGGGTTATATAAAATGTTCATATTTTTTTAATAATGATTAAAATAAAATTTTGTTAACTTGAATTGGATTGTTAGGTAGATCTTTGAGTTTTGACAATTTTCTAAACCAATGATGAACATTTACAGGGAACTACGGGGACCTTTCCTAATAATCTTCCTTTTAAATTGGAATGAAAAAGGAGTTGTCATATTTCTCATGTTAACACGTTTTAGTCAACAAGACAGAGAATTTTCATCGAAATACACAGGTGATGAAATATTGTGTATTACCAAAGAATACGTTTAGATCTAAAGGGTTTATCATTAGTCTTAACATCTATAACTTATAATCACATTAAGTCCTTCTCCGTGTTAAATCTGAGGTCTGTAAGATGCTGGAGATGAGTTTAACTTCCGTTAATGCGTTATCGGCGACCTCACGTTTTGCGCGGAAGCCATTTTGAAATTGTAAAAAAGGAAACAAAACGGACGATTCGGATAATTCTGGACCGATTGAACCGAACCGCGATATCATTTTAGCGTATCGTGAATTGAACCGTGGAAAAATATACCACGATATACCGTCAAACGGTTTATCGTTGCACCCTTACATATCCAAGATTATTTTTTTACACACTCAGGTAAATACATTACAGCATTAATATGAAATTGATTTGTTGAGAGTAAAAGATTAAATATCGGTGCTAATTTCCAAGGATTTCTTAGAAAATTGAAACACAGGCAAAAACACACTTAGGCCATTTACCTAGCTGAAATTATCAAACAATTCTGTCAAAAAGTTGTAATGATTTATATCAAAGAGGGTCAATGGCAAATCTCTCCAAAATAACCTAAAAGAATACAATCGACTTATAAGCGGACCGACATATAGGCGAGTATATATGGTAACTGTTTCAAGCTAAATCAAGAAATTGTGAGTGCTATAGACATAGAAAAAAATTTCTTTATCATCCTTGTTTTCTCCTGATAATTAACACAATCTTTTTTTAGATTAATTTTCAAAATACATAAAAGAAATTAATACTTACTAAGTGTCAGTCGAGGCTTCCATTTTAACAAGTTTTTTCTTTGATTCTGAAATGTTGCAATATTTCTCGAATAAGAAAACACCCTGCCAAAGAAGGAGAAGAAAATTGTATGTATTCATCACTAAAATTCTTTCACAATTGGGAAAATAAAGCCTTCTTGACATGTTTACCTTTGAAATCCTTCTTTTCGAAAAACACAGACAGAGAAGGGTCGCAGAATTTGTCTACACGCCATTTTGAATGGCGTGAAGGTGCTTGCTAAATCGTACATAAATATCTCGAAATTGCTTCATGTAATTGTCTTTAATTGTTTAAATAATTCAAACTAAGTATGATAATACAATGTATAGATATAAATAATTTGAGTCCAAATATTCATTTTAGATAAAAGGAAGTTTCAATAATTTTTTCAGTATTCCGGATAATTTTTAAGTACGGCTCTATATTTACCGTCCTCTCCTTATTTCCTGGATACACAACGCTTTCAAGAGACAGGTTTGAACACTAATTTTATGTATAAGAATTGTTTTGTGAAATTATAGAATAGTCATTGTATTACAATATTTTCCCTTCACAGGTCCAAGATGCCTCAGAATGCCAGGGCACTGATAGCGTACGGACCATACGAAGCATGTTATTTGGTAGATCACAGAAAAAGTCGGTTACAAGGATTAGAGAGTAAGTAGAACACCCTTAATTCTATCATACCCTTATGTAATTAAAAATACACATCATGACAGAAGAAGGCTCTGTCTCTGAATCAGGTCACTAATCACCTGAGCTCTACTCTGTCACCACTTTCGTAGTGTAAAGCAGTCTCCCATACAAGGACTCTGGGCTATATACACAGCTGATACAGGCTCACCGTAGCTTGACTTTCTTGAAATCAAGGGAGACTCTTTTGCATCACCAGAAAAGCTAGCTCACTAGCAAGGCAGTATGTTTCTCATATAGAGTGCACCACACTTTCCACGCTCAGAGAAACCTTGCATGAGTACTCTCTGAGTGTCTGGGGCCTCTTCTGAGTAGCAACAACCTCTGTCGTCCAAGGATTACTAAGTCCCTAAATGGACACAGAGTCATAGCCTTGGAGCTTCCTGAAGCAGGCCATGAATCACTGAGTCAATATGCTGCCACCAATTTCGTAGTAATGTGAAGCAGTCATCCATCCAAAAGCTCATCAGGCTTGCAGCAGCATTACTTGCCTGAAATAGAGAGAGGCTCTACAGCATTACCAGAAAAGTTAGCTCAATAGTGAGACATTATAAATTCCCTATATATTGTTATATTTATTTATTTATTGTTGTCTTGGAGAGAGGATATATATGGTTGTGATATTATCTGGATAAACATGTACATGTGCAAGTTTATCAGTATAAATTAATTTAACATATTAATTTTACAACTCTTTACCATGATGCATACAAATGGAACCATTACAATACATAACACATGAAAGGGATGTCAGCAATCTTTATGAAATAGTTTTTTTCAATTTATTAATAAATCAAAAGTTTTAAACCATTCCAAATTGAAGTCAGATGTTCACAATCTTCACAATCACAATTTCATAATAAATATAATTAGTGAAAACAAATCATACTTTACAAAAAGAGAGAACTTTCTCGAAATTTTCGGCACATATCTAGAGAACATATACATGGATACCCTGTATATCTATATTCTGTATGCCTCAAGTTTAATCCAAGTTTTAAAGAAATATTGTATACAGTATAAAGGACTATCTTTGAAATTTTTGGATATTTTTTTCTTTTTTATGGGGGGGGGGGGGGGATCAGAGGTGTGTGGTGAATTTGATAGAATTTCTAACAAATACATGTACAAATCATTATGACTTTGATTGAAATAAGTTTTTATCTAAAAATGCATACCACAATTGCACAATCCAATTCATGAAAAACTATTAATCATACCCTTGGGTGATGAAAATGTAACATATCATGTTTTTCTTTTTTAGCTGTCCTGTTTAAAGATGGGCATTCTGTAGAGTTTGAGGAAATAGAAGACTGGAATATGGTGGAGATCTGGGTCAATGGAGAGTGTGTGTTCAAGTGTGACATCAGGGAGCTAGATTATGGTATGACAACATTTTTATTTCTTAAAGGTCAAGGGGTGGGGGGGGGGGGATATTCACACCTGAAAATTCAAACGGGGAGGTATAATGTGTTGAGATTGTGAATATCCTTTTCATTAGTTGAAGGTCATTGGCAAGTACATGTATGTTCATGGTAGGACAGTTTATACCTCTGAGTTAGCGGAGAGCATGTTCATGGTAGGACTTGTGTTCATGGAAGGATTGTTTATAATATCTCTTAGTCAATTTTTATATCTCAGTATATTATACACTTATTTACTGGTTATGAGGACAATAGCAAGTTTATAGCAACTATTTCCTTATATAGCCTTAGACATTTATATTTCATAATCTATTTTATATTATATACTGTAGATCACAATAATTTCATGACACCTTATTTTCACGAGTTATAAATTTGGTATATGTAAGGGAAACAAAATTTTTAGGAATGCTGGTTTTTTGCTGTATATATTCCATGCTAATAAATATACGCAAGAATAATTTTTTCGTGAGCAGACTGTTTTGCATGATTACGCGAAAATAAAGTTCTCGGGAATAAAAACTGATTCACAGTATAATATTATACTCTAAATATATTTACAGTTTAAAATATTTACGGTATTATATACTATAAATCACCTTTTATTATCGCGTAATCACACAAGAAAGGTCTGGTCACAAAAAATTCATTCCTGCATATATTTGTACATATTGGTAAAGCTTATATAGTCTTAGAAAATAACCTGAATTTGCTAAAATTTTGTTTCATGTATATATTAAATCAGGCCCTTAGGAAGCAATTTCAGTGGGGGGGGGGGGGGGGGGGGGCACGGCCATACATTTTCAGTTGGGCACTATCAACAACCAAAAATTCCTTGACAAGCAAATTAAAAAAAAAAAAAAAGGTCATCAGACGTATTTATTGAGAGGGCCCAAGCATATAGTAACTATGTTTTCTATCTATATACATGTATAGATAAAAATTATTGGAGGGGGCATCCCCCCCCTCCCCTGGGTCTTATGGCCATGAAAATACATATCTAATGAAAATAAAGTGTCATGAAAATTTGGTGATATACAGTACATAAAGATTTGAGTCAATGGAGAAGGTATTCGTGGTAGGACTGTATATATATCTAGGTCAATTGACAGTGTGTTCATTGAGGATTGTATCTCCGAATCAGTAGAGAGTGTGTTCATGGTAGGACTGTTTATATCCCTGAATCAGTAGAGAGTGTTCTGTTCATGGTAGAACTGTTATATCCCTGAATCAGTAGAGTGTGTTCTGTTCATGGTAGAACTGTTATATCCCTGAATCAGTAGAGTGTGTTCTGTTCATGGTAGAACTGTTTATATCCCTGAATCAGTAGAGAGTGTTCTGTTCATGGTAGAACTGTTTATATCACTGAATCAGTAGAGTGTGATCTGTTCATGGTAGAACTGTTATATCCCTGAATCAGTAGAGAGTGTTTTGTTCATGGCAGAACTGTTTATATCCCTGAATCAGTAGAGTGTGATCTGTTCAGGATAGAACTGTTTATATCCCTGAGTCAGTAGAGAGTGTTCTGTTCATGGTAGTACTGTTATATCCCTGAATCAGTAGAGTGTTCTGTTCATGACAGGACTGTCTGTCTCTCTATCTGTTAGTCTGTACCTATGCCCAGCTGTCTGTCCCTTTGTTATCAGTCTGCCTTTCCCTCTTACTAACAGTTTGTCATTCTGTCAGTCAGTCTGTCCATCTGTCAGTCTCACTTGTTTCCCCCCCCCCCATTTTTTCTGCATTCTTGCACATACTGAGTTGAATTTAGTATAAGAATCTTTCTTGGTGAGTTACAAATTAAGTTTGCTAATCGTTCTGCTTCAATGATTTTTTACCATATTGTTGCCCTTTTTAGTTCGATACAGTTGTGTCTTTATTTTCTTGCAGGAGGTGATGGAGAACTGGATCCCCTCTGTAAGAAGGCACTAGAGGCTGTCCAAAGTGCTTTTTAATTTAAGTCACACATGATTTTTGTAACAGAAGTGAGTTAGTAATGTCAGAATGTATGCAAGCTTTTCACACGTATGGATGTTTGTGATGTTAAGAATTGTTACATTATACAAATTAAAACATATTTTCTATAGAAAGCTTCAGCTTTATATTTTAACAGTTTTATGATTTCGGAATCTGTTTATGCTTTTTCAATAGAAGGTGGTGATTTTTCAGCAATTTAAAAGTCGTTGAATGATATTTACTGTAAATTAGTGTGAATTTCAACCAAAAAATGCTGATTTTGAAATTCTATAACAAAAAGAAAAAAAAAACACCTTCTGTTTTATATTTGTTTTTATCCAATGAATCGAGAGTTCTCTATCCTAAACTCTCTTTATATATACATGTAATTGTAAAATAGATATTGCTACATACACGTACATGTATTATGTATCTAAAATGATTTGTATTTACAGCTCCGCTAATTTAGTGTTCCACATACATTCACAAGGTAGTGGAGACTGAAAACATAATTATATATGTTTACATTAAAGTTATACATGTATTTATTGTTAAAAATATCAAAACATCTTGATCGTTTTAACAAAAAGAAAAGCAAGTCTTCTTTTTTTAAATTTAATTCAATGTTTCCTTTTTTTTTTTTACATGCAAGTCTTTAAACGTTTTTGCATTGATATAATCTTTAAGAAGTCATTTAGATTAAAAAAAAAATACCACCCACAAATAACCCCATTTCAAGTACTCCATTGCGAAGAAAACAAGAATTCTGGATCAGAAAACGGGGCACTGCGTTCCCCTATGATTACAAGTGTCATTTACTTATTATTGAATTAGAAATTCATATAAATAGTACATCATGTACTCATATGAATTTCTAATTGAATAATTAGTAAACGACACAAGGACCACTTTAATAATGTGGGATATCTTTCAACTAACAATGTGCCAATGTATGTGTGTTTAAACTTTTTTAAAAATACACCATGACGAAGGCGTAGACTAGTGGACATGGATCATACAATAGACCAGACGTCAAAACAATTAAGTCTGCATTACAGGCGTAGTAGTCTTTACTTTGTTCCCCCTGAAATTTTATTTTAGATGAACCATTCGAAGCTAAATCAAGTTCATGCTTGGATTCTTCAACACTAGAATACATGCTAGTGTTTGTAGTCATCATAGTCTCTAAGCTACCACGTGATGGAAGATAATAATCTCGACTTCCTGTATTTCCTTCAGATACCTGGTATTCTCCAACCGTTGCATCCAAACTTTTCAATTATTTATAAACTCTACAGTACCTAGATATTGACCATTTAAAACAAAGTGTTCTTTCAAGATCAACTATAGCCCTACTGGATACATTATTTCTGTTGATGTAAATAATGACGATCTGAAAGCAATCATCTTAAAATTATAGAAATTCAGGGAACCCCGATCTTTCAAAAGGAGACAATATTTCATTTCTATTATGAATTTCGTCTAGGAGTATGCCGGAAGATGTTCTAAATATGAAGGGGAAGACCTCGACAGAAGTATATTTATCTAGAAGCAAAGTATACGTACTTACCATCTATAATTCAGTTTTTAGTAAACTGGAAGTCATAAAAGAATTAGAAAGACTACAAGAACAATATGTTATGGTCCAGCTAACAAGGCTTGTAACAATATAGTCTTTGTTTGTAAGGATTATTATTACATTTGCATTTTAGAACTTTGCTTTTATTCCACATCTGGAAATCCATCTTAATATACTCGCTCTACTTTCGAATCACGTTCAGTTTTAAATTTTTTTAACATTCCAGTCAACAGAAGTGAAATTGATTTAGTAAATTTTAACTTTAAATGTTATTAGAATTCTTGCAATATTTATCTCAGGTATTGAACTGGTATAAATGGGACAATAACTTTTTCTTCAGAAGCAACTTATGGAAAAAAAAAACATCATTTATTTTAAATTATGCACCATGGGACAAGCATTTTCAACATATAAGCTCACCTGAACCGAAGCGAGCTTCTCTGATTACCTGTTGTCCATCATTTGTATGTCCGTTAACTGTTTACATCCTTATTTATGTAGTAATATTCCACTATCACCTGCATACATGATGTTTATGTCGGTTTGCAAGAATATGTTATGAATACGATCAATTTTTAAAATAGAGGCAGGCTACTAGCAAATAAGTTGATGTTGGACTTCCTACATCTCGTTTAAAGTAACCTTTTCGCAAATTCTGATGTCGTTGACCTTGTTTGCAAAATATAGCTTATCCTTGGGTCGTATTTTGGCTGACATACTTTACATTAATTGTTATGTCATTGCTTTTATACTAATCTTGACTACGGATTCCTTGTCGCCCGCGTGGCGCAGTGGTTAGAGCTTCTAGAGTCGCGAAGTAAGGAGTTGATCCTTACGTCGCGGGTTCGAATCCCACTGTGGGACGTGGAGACCGGTCCTTCGGATGAGACCGTATAAACCGAGGTCCCGTGTCACAGTAGGTGCTGGCACGAAAAAGATCCCTCACTGCTCAATGGCCGTAAGTGCCGAGTATAGGACAAAATTTGCAGCTCTCCACCGGCAAGTGGTGGCGTCTCCATATGAGTGAAAAATTCTCGAGAGGGACGTTAAACAATAAACAAACAAACTACGGATTCCTCTGTTTACCTGATTAATACAGAGGCTCACCGGGGGGGGGGGGGGGGTGTCAACAGGGGATGCCTAGTCCTCTGGTGTTCACGTTTCGTATTGTTTACATGATTTATGAGATGTATCACAGTTTCTTATCTACACCTTATTTAATTTATTTTATTTTTTTTCCATGAAAATTATGTGGATTCACTTGTGTACGCTTATAGCTACGCCCCTATTGCAACACTCGAAGTTATAAAAGCCGATTGTTCATAACCAAAAAAGTGAAAAAATTAATAAATTCAGGGAAAATTACTAAAGCCATTGGTTATCTTGTATCCTGCATGTAATCTTTTGTTGCTTATTATAAAAACTTTCTGTGGAACTTAATTAATAAAGTCCCTTTCCTGAAGGTGACAAACAGACAAATGTATGTCCTTTACAAACATGAATCTTCATTATAGACCTGTCAGTGTGGAGAATCGGTGCCGAGGGAATCAGTTGTGATTCACTGATCTATGTTCAGTCCTCTTTTTCTGATAACTCATTATATTTTACTCATTGATCTTGTAAATTAATAGAATTCCTGTTTTGTGATTCTTTAAAGACTTAAATTATTTTTTTCAAGAGGCAATTACTAGTATAAAATGAAATTGTTCACCAGATATCCAACAGAATATTAGACAACTTCTCCGCATGGAACACTTTATTTTTTTTTTTTCAAAAGTGTGTGCAATTGAGCTGGCCTCTATTCTGTTAAAAATATGATCATCAATAAAGAGCCTTTGTCCGTGAACAGCTAATCAATAGTTAAAAATGAGAGGACCTCATTAAATTGCTAAGTTCTATACATATATCTCAATCTGTGGTGTTTAATTTTAACGAAAGTATTTTTTTTCTTTATTCTTACATGAAGCATGAAGATGGGAAAATTCCATGAAATATTTCATTAACTTTTTTCATTTATTTACTTTTATTTGGAAATTGGAATGTATTTCCTCAGTGTAAATGTAATTGTTTAGATACCACCAAAGTACTGTAGTTGTACATTTCACAAGGGCCTGAGTATTTAAGTCTCTGATGTAAATAAAAGAGGAACATTCTACATTTGAACTTCCTTGAAACTGTGTTCAAAAAGACAAAATTTGAACAACTTCTTTTATCTACTTATGATCTGGGTATTTTGAAATAATACAGTTAGGCCTAATCAGAAAAACAAATGTTCCGTGTGTTTGGATCGAATAGCAATTATTCGTGAATCCTTATAATGTCAGAGCAATTGTGTTCTGATCAATCTACACATCGTAAGAGTATCATTATTAGAAAATAATTTCTCTGGTGACGGAAATTGCCGACTGCAGTATTTAATGCCACGACAGCTGTGTGTTGGTTCCTGAAGGTTGCCCCACAAAAAATATCGACAAAGTTTAAACCCACATCTGACGCCCCAACAAGCCATTAGGATAATTAGTTTGGGGGATATTGTATAGAACAAATTACACGATGATGGTTGGATTGTGTTAATAATTTGTTAGCATCAAACATGCCGACAAATTTAGGAGTTTGTTATGTATCCATCTTCTTTAGTTTCCAAAGAGAAAACTTAAAATTATTCAAACAAGAGTGAGTGAGATACAGGAAAAGTGAACACGGATTTACACGGATTTAAGTCTTTTTTAAAATAAAAGTTCAGAGAATACGGAAAGCTTGCATCAAATAAAAGTTCAGAGAATACGGAAAGCTTCACATCAAATAAGAGCCTCCAAATTAAGACACTTCCACAATGGAATCCACAATGCAACCATCTGATTCATTTGTGATAGGAGTGGTGCTGCTCTGTTTGTGTTGGACTGTTAGTGCGGCCCCCACATACCATGACTACTGTGTGATAGGCGCCGGACCCGCGGGCTTACAAATTGGATACTTCCTGCAAAGGTCACAGAGAAATTACGTTATCTTCGAGAAATCAAATTCTGGAGGTATTCTGCAATTCATTTAATTTTAATGTTCTGCGTTTTCATGACTTCCTCCACTGGATATGTGAATGGCAAGGATCCTTTCAAAGAAAAAAAAATAATGATTTTCTTTAGATATCGTTTAAATAACAAGACCATGTTTTAAATATAGTTATTTTTTTAAAACTAGGTTCCTTCCCTCATGTACTAATGATACAGTTGGTGAAAAAGCAAACATGGCTTGATCCTGTTTAATCAGCAATCTTAAAGTCACTTAAAAAACAAGTAAAAAAAAACATTAAAAAAAAAAATTTTTGCAATATATTATCTTAATAAAATTGTGCAACTTGGGGATGACTCTATATTAATTCCAACGAACTTCTGAAAAAAGTTCCCATTCACAATAATTCGTTTTATCTTTTTCGTAACCCTACCCCCCCCCCCCCCCAAGCCATCCAACAAATTTTGCCCATTCGTTTTCATCGGAGTCGGGCATTTGCATATATGCTTTGAAATCAAACGTAGAACATAAATTTCAATACAAAATATGTAGTGCTTTCTGATAATTTTTTATATTGACTTTTGATATATAAGGTTCATTTTTCACCAAATATCCCATTCATCGGAAGTTGATTAGCATCAATAAGATCTACACAGGGAAAATAAACAAAGAATACAACCTTCGTCATGACTGGAACTCACTTCTTAGTGACGATGATCGCATGCTCTTCAAGCATTTTTCACGTCAAATGTTCCCGTCGGCAGATGTCATGGTCACGTGAGTATTTGTGATTAAAAATCATATATCATACAAATACATGTATAGCCCTTTTATGAGGTCGATCCATAGATGTTTCAACCGAGCACGAATTGCGAGTTTGATATCCCTTTTGTGAAGTTGATATATCTATGGATTGACCGAATTAAAGGCTGCAATTTGTTTTTTTTTTTAATTTTTTAAAAGAAAGATTGACAATGAAAATAATGGGGACATAATTCTCTTTTTTTTTTAACTTACGGAGATATGGATCAAAATAGAGTAAACATGTTTAATTTCAGAGTGTTTCCTCAAAAAAAGGCTACATTTGTACAATACAATTTTTCTTTATCATTCCCTGATCTCTGATTGGCTCAAACTACATCATATGATCAAGTTTAAAACAACTTATCATCTTATGAATCCATTTTAAGATTTCAAAGAAGCAAATCGACTCGATGGTTTAAAAATAGAAGAAAAAAAATCTTCTGTACAACAATAATGGTGATGATATCACAATGGTTAACATCGTCTTGATGTTCTAAAACAGATACTTAAAGACCGAGTATGAAATGCGAGGTCAGTTCTTTTCTTCTGTGAAGTTCATTCATAATTGTGATGTCGTTTTTACCGAAGACATAATTTTATGAATTCATAAAAGAGAAACACAAAGTCGATTCCTTTTTACATAGTGCTTGATCATGTTATCTAGTTTGAGCCAATCCGAAAGCTTGAAATGATAGAAAAACTAAGTATATTGGATAGGAAATTGTAGAAATTCAATATTTAGGTACCTGCAATCATTTGCTGACCATTTTAACCTAACCATTCACTACAACACGGAAATATCAGACATACATTCCGTATATGGAGACAACACTACTAAGATCAGTATGAAGGACCAACACGACAATCAATACGTATGTAGGTAAGTAAAGACCTGCTTATGTATTTTTTTTCTCTTTCCGCGTGAATTATGACTTGTTAACTTCTCTAGCATGCTTTTCCTTATAGAATTGCTATTGTTGCCACTGGAATATGGCAGCCCCGCATCCCCGATATCCCTGGACAGGAACTTATGGACGGTTACGAGAGTTTGTCACTGAACGCATCGGACTACGAGGGCAAATCCGTTATGATTCTGGGTAACTGTAGTAAATTAGAGTAATTCTAAGTTTTAAATACCTGTATGTGTTGAAATTTATTCATCATGTTCTATCTTACTAGGTCGTGGGAACTCTGCTTTTGAAACCGCCACTGCCATCTATGACAAAACGAACTTCGTCCACATGGTCGGTCGACACCGCATCCGTCTGGCCTGGGAGACTCATTATGTGGGCGATCTCAGGTAATACTCATGGACATCAGGTGAAACTCATTTGAGGAAACTTCCAAATACAGAACGTTTAAACAATATTCAAACAGGACTTTTCCTTCTTTCCTTTATTTCATGAAGACAAAAGTATGTTTGAAATAAAAGTTTGTTAAGATATTTGAACATTTAGTGTGTAAAAATGTCCCGGAACTATTTACGATATATATATGCTATACACGTTCCAGAATCTTTCCTTATGGATATAGAGCACGGTAATTAATCGAATGAGACGATAAAGAACTTGTTTTATAACTTAACTTGCTATATTGTGATCTTTTCCCCACACAGGGCTGTAAACAACGAGCTGTTGGACACCTATCAGTTGAAATCCTTGGATGGTCTTCTAGAGTATGATATAAACGATTACAAGGTTGTTAAGGAGGGGGAAAAGTTGTACCTACGGGAGAACCATGCCCTGGGCCAACAGTGGACGGAGTATGACAATGACCCGCTCCTCACCCCATACGATATGATCATCCGCTGCCTTGGGTTCAAATTTGATCCGTCGATCTTTAGAAAGTAAGGATAATTAGTAAATCGACAGTTCCCGTCAATATTTATACAAGCATACTTGTTAATGATATTTTCACTAATCAAATACGCTTAATTTCGGTAAATTAAAAGATCACTTTATTATTTTTAACCACTCTCAGAATTTCAGACGTCGCGGCAAGGCCATCACAGAAGTATCCAGTAATAGATTACGATTACCGATCCTCTGTTGTGGATGGTATTTACTTCACAGGAGCAATAGCACACTCTTTGGACTTCAGACAATCGGCAGGGGGGTTCATTCACGGCTTCCGTTACTCCGGTAGGAAGATAATCAAAATGTTTATGATCAATGTTTTAGCCCAAGGGAAAATGTGTGGCATACGTTATGATCTTCTAATCTATTTGGTTGTAGCACGCATTCTTTCAAAGATTCTAAACTGGCGTTACCATCAAGAGATATGGCCGTCAGAAATTCTCCCAGTCTACAACCTGTCGTCTGCCATTATCAAAAGAGTGAACGAGGCTTCAGGACTCTATCAAATGTTCACATATCTGGGAGATGTCGTTCTGGTAGACAAGTTGGTATCATCTACATCTACTTGTAGTTCCTATTTTGACTCATCTCTTTATGTGTTGCAATTAATATTTTAATTTTCTATCTGAAAAGATTTGATTTTGGAATTTTAATTGATAGAGATGGAATGTGTGAGTATGTTGAGGAATATCCAGTAAAGCTGATACATAAGTTTGGTGAAGTAACAGGAATTAAAACAGCAAACAGAATGGTTCTGGTGGTGGTTTTACAATACGGTGAGGGGTTTCACGGACCGGAAGAAGACGTGTTCCGAGTGGACAGAGCCGCCACTGATCCGGAATTTGCAGATTATTCCAATTTCTTACATCCTGTCATTCATTACTTTTCAGAAGTTCCAAAAGGTAGACAATATATTGTATTTGTTATACCTTTTATTTATTTATTTTATTTATAATATTTATTAATTCATTCATTCCATGATGTAAATTTCCTTTACCCGCACTGTGGCTAAACTTGGTCGTTTCTGTCACTTTCGAACGCCAACGAATGGACAGAGCCACCACTGATCCGGAAATTAACATCATGAAAGCCAGCTCAAGATACATGTATGTAAAAAATAAATAAATAAATATGTATGTATGTAAAAAAATAAATAAATATGTATGTATGCAAAAAATAAAGAAACAAATAAACGGTATAACAAAACATCTATTGACTGTGTTCTCGGGCAAAATGCATTTTGTCGACCCCTCGAACCAAACTGTTTGCATATTCTACCCAACGGCCTCAGGCAAAGAGTTGATTCTTGGATCCGACAAGCGCATGTTGTCCTCGAACCCAGTCAATAAATGTATATTGTTTTTATGAGGACCATCTACATCTTTATAAACATTACAGTTCCCCTGACCGCATTCTATCCTTTCAGTGAGGGTAAGAACTTAGGGGGAAAAATTACCTTTCCACAAATAGCCCTACTTAAAGTACTACATTTCGTATACAACGAGAATAATTATGGATTAGGAAACAAGGCACTACATTTCCATATGGTTGCAATGACCACATCAATGATGCAGGAATTCTTCCAATCCCACAGGATGCTGAAGCGTATGTGATAAGACCTTAACAGTACTCCAAGACGTATGCATACATAGTCATGGACATCTTCACAATAAACTAAATACTAGCATACACGATGTTTCATTTCATTCACTGTTACCTTTCTTCAATAAACCATTAGATCTACATCACAATCGAAATGAACTTTATTTGGTTTGCTTGAAATTTTTAAAATGGACTGTTTCAAAAAGCTAAAAGCAAGTCCATTCTTGGATTCTTCAAAACTAGAGCACAGACTAGTATTTGTGATTATGGATGTTGCCCAACACAGGCTCTGAAAACCTGCACATGTTACTTACGATAATGATACCGAATCAACCTTAAATTTGGCAACATATATAGGTATAGATGCATCAATTTTTACCAACAAAGGTGGAAATGCTGTAAACACTTGCAACATTCTTTATCATAGAAATGTGCATTTCCTACAGATATTCCTAAATTGCGCATACTATAAGTCTGTTTGATTATAAACAAAAGACATTAACCATCCAGAACAAAATCCTCTTAAGTGTTCTTGTTCTTCTTCTTTCAACTACAGTCCAACTGGAAACATCATAACTAGCGATGTAAGTATATAGTTCAAAATGACGACCTTAAAGTAATCATTTTGAAAGGCCCTAAATTCAGGGAGATCAGATATTTCAAATGGCGATAGAACTTCATTAAATTTTCTATTATGAATTCTGTCGAGGAGTGTAAGTATGCTAGACGATGGGCTAAACATGAAGGGGAAGACCTTGACACTCTGTCAAAAAAGATAAAGTTTCGTGAGTTTTAGAATTACTGTGCACAGTTATTCTCGTCCCCTGTATTTTCATCCGTTCACAATTCAAAAAATTTTGCACCATCTTATATTCAGCTAGACACAGTTGTATATAACAGATTATGTTGTTTCTTTAAATTCACTCGGTTTCAATTCACCTAATATCGACGAGAGCGAAAGGAATGAAAATAAAACGGGGGGGGGGGGGGGGGTTCCTGTATACGGTATACCAAAGAACATCGTTATGATCGAAGAATCGCATTAGAAAATTATATAACAAAATGCGAATTATCTTTACATCTGTTTTCAGTAGACCGGAAGTGATATAGGATAAGGAATTATGAATATGATCTGATTCTAGCTGAGAAAGCTTTTAACTATATACAGCTGCAGTTTTTTTTTTGTAAGGCTCATTATTACAAAGTGCATTTTAAAAGGACTTGCATGATTTTAACTCAACATTAGGTAATCCAATTTAAACTCATAATTCCCTTTCAAAAGATGATATTCTTCAAATTCATGGTTCAGTTTCATACTCAAGAGCATGAGTACGGTCAATTTTTAAACAGGGTCATGCTACGGACAAATACGTTGATGTTAAAAGGTTTTCATCTTTCTCGTTTAAAGTCAACATTTCGCAAATTCCAAGGTCTTTATAATGATTTTTTTTTGCAAAAACAACCATCATTGGGTTGTATTTTGAGTGACATGTTTCCCACCAATTGTTAGACCATTATTTTTATACCTGTCCAGTTTGACTACGGATTACCCCGTTTACCTGATCAATACAGAGGGCTCACGTAGATGTGACCAGTCGACAGGGGATGTTTACTCCTTCTAGGCACCTTATCCCACCTCTGGTTTTTCGGGGATCCGTGTTTTAGCCCTGTTCACGATTTGTATCCTTTATATAATTACTGGATTTATGAAATTGATCACAGTGACTGATTTATGAGATTGATAACCGTTCTTCACCTTATACATTAATTTCTCCTCCTTTTTAGCTTTACTGGTCAGAGACCAAAAGAGCTTAAGCGATATTCAGGTGTCCATCGTTTGTTCATCCCTCTGTCTCTTTGTCTGTAAACATTTTTTAGAATCTACTGCTCATACAGTTTTGGTTCGATTTCAATATTCTGTGTATCGGTTTTTGATTTCGATGAACGGTGTTGCCATGGTGTTACTAAAAATAGAAATTTTGTGAAATTCTTCCAAAACGCCACTTCTCCTACAGTTTTTGTCTGACTGCAATTATACTTGCATCAAAACGAAACTAAACCAAGGATCATTATTCTATTTATGGCTGTTATAGTTTCAAGTCCAAGTACTACTGTTCTCTTCCTTTGTTACAAGTATAAACCCTTAAGGCTACAGTCTCGTCACGGTCAGTCTTCCTCTTCCGTTATTACAAAATATAGATCCACGTGTTCTTGTGGATAAAAAAGGATATCTTAAATTTTATTACTAAAGACTTGTTTTGTTGACAGAGGAAGACATAAAGAGAAGAAAGCGAGGGCAGCCATTACCTCCTGCAGAAAGGATTCACCATGTTCTGGAGGATTTCTCGGCTAACTGGGACAGACCCCACGCCCACATCAAACCTCTCAACAAGTTCCTACAACGTATACTGAAAACCAGCAATAAATGCAGATCACCAACAAACAGTTTCTCAAAGTACTTGGCCTTAACAGAACCTTTAAACACACAATCTTGTGTTGTTTCTTAAGTTAGGATTGAATTTATTAAAACAACTGATAACATTAAAAAGGAGGGCTGTAGATGTTTTGATTTTCAATGATGCACCCTTCTTGATATACGGAGTCTGTACATTTGGATTGGAGCACCACATTTCTCTGACATCCTAAAAACCACAGCGTCGGTTATATTGAGAGTGTTTTTGTTTTTTTAATTGGGGAGTTGCAGCCATTGGTGGGATTCTAAATCCTGTTATATATTAATAGTACTGGTTTACTGTTGTAAATAAATACTTTACGAAGATGATGGATGGTCGATTGTAGATCTAAAGCCAGTTTATCCCCATCCTTTCTTTGAAAGAATTTTACCGCTGTCTTAACTTGTTCACTTTAAATTGTGTGTTTGAAACTCTCCTTTCAGGAAAATTCATTAACCCGATCTGATATACTTAGACTAGTATTCATATTATTCGAAACGTGTCATTTTTCAAATAAAAGTGCAGATGGAGGTTTTATCAAAGCTGCAAAGTATATGAATAGTAATGTAAGGTAATAAAATTACAATTCCTCCACTTACTGGTAGGTACACACGTAGAACGGGTGCATTGGTTATCTCGGTCCCAATGAGTTCGAGATAATGAAGTTTTACTGTATTTGATTTGATTATATGCAACACGAGTGAACGACGACAGACAATATGTATTCAGGCTAATTGCTAAAGCTGAATGGGTAATATTAATACACATGAGGTATTTTGGAATTGTTCACAGCACTATGTATACTTGTATCAACAGCAATATCATGTAGAACCGTATATAAATAGTAAATGGGGAATAATGAGTCTCCACCAATTTGTTTAAAGACGTTCAAAATCTGTGGAATGTGAGTCAAATGTAATTGGTTTACCACCCTTCTCCTTTTTGAAATGACGCTCTCACTTCCGATGAAACGGGCCTGATATTAATGTTTATAAAATCTTTGTATGTCTTCGCCCTCCCTCTTCTATATCACCTCGCATAGTTTGAATAGGGAAAGTTCTGGATCCCCCCGTCTTGTGTGGCGGTCAGGCAGGTTTGTTTGCCGGTGACAAGATAGCTCAGTTGTTGGAACCTCCGTCTGGAGATCAGGGACCCGGGTTCGAATCCTGGTCTGGTTTGTCGCAGTTCCCTATTAAATGTGCTGTGACATGCCCTGGAATAGTCCGAAATATCTGAAATTTTCCAGACATTCTTTCACGATTTGATACTTGAAGTGCCAGGACGTCAATTATCAAAATCGTGAATGTCAGATATTTCGGACTAGCCCTGGAAGTGACAAGTGAACGGCCTGGTAGGGAAGAGTCTGGGTTGGTGTCTTCGGGGCCGGGCGGTATCAAATGTGGCGGTCAACAAATCGTCAAGCATGTTCGATCGCCACTGGTATTTGGCTTCAAAGCTCAGTCTAGGTTTGAGACGCTCTATACCATCGACTTGCATTCACTGTGTGAAATATGAAGATAACGAAACAGCATTCAATCTCGAAAGTCCAGTGAAACGATACACATTTGGAGCAGAGCAAACACGGACCTCAGAATTAGAGGTGGGATCAGGTGCCATGGAGGAGTGAGCATCCCCTGCCGACCGGTCACACCTGCCGTGTGCTCCTTGTCATGATCGGGAAACAAAACCCGGAAAAATCCGTAGACAGTTCAGTGTATAAATAATGGCCTAACAATTTGTATAAAAAAGTCAGTCAGCATTTGACTCAATGATAGGTTGTATCATAGGTTGTATGTGCTGACAAGGTCATTGTATCGACCGAAAAACTTACCAAAAGCTAGATGACTTCAAACGAGACTGTTGATATCCTTGTTTCGTCAGCTTGTTTGTCAATAGCTTGCCTCGTTTTAGAAATTGTTAATACGTAGAGCATGCTCTTGCGTATCGAATCAACTGAGAGACATAAACCCCATATGCAGGTGATAAGGGTATATTGCTACTTAAAGGGTTTTTATCACGATTCAAAATTTTTTGATATGACAAAGTTTACATGCTATTAAAATCATATATTTAATAATCTTTGCTAGAAAATTAATATTTTTGATGTTTCAGCGATTCAAAGTTTGAATTTCTCAATATGCATATTTTGATCGCCGATGTTACGCGCCATTGCTCTGACGTCATAGGTGTCAATCCTGGTCAAGCGAAGTACTTATTGTGTATACAAAAGGGCTCATTTGTTGTGTCTTTTAAACCTGTTAGAAAATAATTAAGTGATAATTGAATATTTGACAACTTGTAAGGTATAATTTATGGCTTTATGGTGCACAAATGTGCACAAAAAGGTTTTAGGAAGAATTTTTTCCCCACATTTCCTGGACTTGGTCGAGAGATAAAAGGGGGGCCTTTCTCTGCAAATGCGATGGTATTTATCTCCATTCAGAACAATCGTTTATGCCCGATCGATCACGATTATTTTTCTTCTGTCCTATAAAATATTTTAAGGAAAGATACTTTTTAAAAAAAAAAAAATAAATGACAAACATGCACTTTTTAAAAGTCGCACAGAATCTAGTAGGAATGTTGTGAACTTCGTAATGGCGTACGGCGCCATTGAAGAAGTGTCATTTCTAGTACATGATATGCACTGCTAGAACAGATAGAAGATATACAGGATTTATTTATTTATAATTAATCAAAATAATAATGAAGAGGAATTTAAAATTCCCGTATTTATAAATGTTTACGAAGTTAAACTTTAGAAATTCGTTCTATTTAGTTGAAGCCCCGAGTTGTCAACGGCTTCGTCTTCGGTGACCTCTCTCCAATTGGTGGCATATTTTAGGGTTATTTCTCTCTGCTAGACGTTCATACCTAAAAGATTGACCGTCCATAACCAAAGGAATTAGTCTATGTCAAAATTTCAACCGGCCATACTGTATATTCTATTTATTTAGCGTAAAAATCTATTCAATATATTTTTTTCTTACGATAAGCTTTACGAGTTCTATTGACCATTGACACCTATGACGTTTCAGTACCACGTGACCACTATCTAATTAGTGGAGATTTATACTTCGAGGACCCTATATTACGGGCGTTTTATCGTCTAATTACGGCCGTTTTCAACATTATTTCATAATTAAACGATAATAATATGTTTCAAGAATATAAAAGTGTTTCATTTTTAAGAAATTTAGATACGTGATAAAAACCCTTTAAGGTAAAGGAAGTTGACGATTGAAAAGTTGAAGTCATCATGTTTATCATAAAGCTTTGTTGTTAGGTTACCATTAACGTTTTTTCTAGTAAAATATCTAAATAAAACAGATGTGTCAGAATGTGTAGTATCTTTTATTTCAAGCTCACTGGGATATATCGAGTCGACATATGAATGAAAGTAACTATTGTCGTCGATATATCGAATTATTATACTACCCTCAAAAACGTGCACTATTTATATAATGTCGAGTTGAAGGCCACTGTAGCAAGTGTTTTCTTCTCATGTAGAAGTTTTTGAATAAATTCTGCTTCATATGAATACAAAAATAGGTCTGCTAATAAGGGGGCGCAATTGGTACCCATGGGAATTCCAACAGATTGTTTGAAGACCTGATCTCCAAAAACTACATCTAGATATTGTCAATCAGAAACTCAAGCATCTTTTTTTTAATATAACTTCAGAGTACTTGTGTGTACAATCAGAGTGTTTTTTTAACAAAATAATTTTGTAAATGACCAATGACAATGTAAGTATATTTACGAGTTCCATTTTTATTGAAAAAGAGTGAGAGAGGAACGAACGACAACTCTGCATAGGAAATTGGGTTTGAGGGTTCGAATCCTGTTTTTCTGTCGTATTTTTTTTCCTTTTTGGTTACATTCATTGGTGTCATTGATCACCCTAGATCTGTAGGTGAAAGTCCTGTCAAAAGAAACTAGGGATGTATGTATTTGACCCGGGACGAAAACATTAAAGAAGGGAGGAATGTAGTGGTCAGGCGGATTCGTTTGTCGGGGCCAACAGCTGACCTGGTAAAGCACCTGTTAAGAGTTTGGAATCCTCGTCTGGTTATCATGTTCATCGCATTTTCTCCCTTCACATGTTCATGTTACATTTGCGAAGAGAGTCAGAATTAATACTAAAATAGGAAAAAAAAATATCATCAGATGTTTCTTTTCTATAGATGTTCCCTATCTTAGTTGGCAACGAAAAAATAAATATATTTTTTTTAAAGCAAGATAAAAATATTCTGAATAGGATATGTAGATATTTGAAACAAGAAATGGATAAATGAAATCGGATTGGGGAAAAAAAATAATAAATGCTTGAAATCTGTTTATTGAATCATTTTATGTTCGAGTTATCTATTCATATAAGATCGACCAATCGGAAGTCTCCACCTCTTCCACTCTGCTCAATCAGTAAAACTTCTAGTCTTCAAAGATGAATGTCTTCTATTTGATATGTTTATTTGTAACAATATGTGTAGTAAACGGGAAAATGAGACCACGTGGCGTCTCAATTTCAAGTAAGTTTGTCAGCTCTGGGACACTTGCGCAGTTCGAATTTCCTCGTATTTCTTGTATGCCTATTCAAGCTATTTAGTATTACTATAACACCAAATTTATAAAGTATTATTCCTTGCATAAGTATTCTTTGTTGTGAAATAATGTTACTTAAAGTAATAATCCCATTGAATTCTACTGTTACAGTCGGGCAGGTTCGGTGCGTTGGCCAGATACTGAAATGGCTCATACATTTAGTTTGCTCACTTTTGAATTAGTATCTTTGGTATATGAATAATTAATAATATAATAATGATATAATAAAATAATTATTAATAATTTCGGTGCATCATGAAGTGGAAAATTGCTCCATTGGCAATGATGATAGAATTATTCAGGGTACATAACAATCCCCTCCAAATTTTTCTACTTTCAATTTTCATGGATTTGTGCTGTGCCAATTATCCTTTTTGTAAACTTTATTATCAGGTTTACTTGGCCTCCATTTTGGAGGATAACCAAAATTCCACATATGGCAGTCAAATTTTTACCATATCAGTGTTTGACACTTGGCAAAATCTGGTCTCATCATTAAGGATTACCTAATTAATGATCTCAGGTTGCTGGATTGGGTTTCAGATTGTCCAAACAAAAATTTCAAATGTGCTTACAACTTCATTTAGTATGTATCTAAATTTACCTTCTATTCTCTTACATCTGAAAGGGGAGGTAACACTTATTACTTGTATAAACTTGTGTTACTTGAAATAACACTTTCATATGACTTATCAATTTCCTATTTTGTTTGATTTATTGGATTCAATAACTGCACAGTGGAGTGTTGGTGGCATTTTGAATTTTTTGTTTCTTGACTGTCTATCTGGAATGACATTGACCATATTGACCTCAACAAGGTACCACTTGGATAACCCTCTCTATTTTGCAAAAGTAACAAACATATTTCTGTCCTCATATAGAAGCCATGGATGTCCCTGTTCAAATAAAGGTCTTGATTTTTTCTTCCTAATTTTTCTTAGGTTGTGAATTCAGACATTTCTTCATTCCTGGCAGGAAGGCTCACTTGATTTTTAACTGCACATGATGCTCTTACAATAAAAAGTAAACAAGACATTTCAGGAATATTTTTCAGAAGATTTCAAGATGACTTCGATCAGGTCTTTCAAAAAGATTCAATTATCAGAATAACTTACAAGACTCAAGGTTTAATAACCCTTGCATCCAGGTCTGGTAAAAGGACCTTGTTCCAATTGAAAATTTACTCTTTTTCCTCCAAAGTTAGGGAAATTCCCAAATGACAAGGAGACTGAATTTTTCAATGCTTTTTATAATTAAAAAAAAAAATTGAATTTTGAAATTTTAATGATTCTTAAAGATGTGAATAGGGAATAAGCCTATCAGTATCAATATTAACGAGACAGCAATATTTCCAAATTTTGGCATTTTTTTTTTAAATTCCCAATTGAAAGTGTAAAGGACCCTGCACTAAAAAGGGTCAAGCCCTGAGACTAGACTAGTACTATAACAAATTTATTTAATGAATTTTCTTTTTATATACAGTTAAACTTTGGTGTCTTGAACACTGATATTTCGAATACCATGGATATTTCAAAGTGATTTGTAAGTCCCAACCATTCATTCTTTTAAGTATTTTGCCCTCGATATCTCAAATCCTCGGATATCTTGAAGTCTTTTCATGGTCCCATGGAGTTCGAGATAACAAGGTTTGACTGTATGTTTAAGATTTAATTTATACAAATAATAATGCAAATCTAAGAGGAACAAAGGAAAAGATTTTTTTTATAAGGAATCCAAAACCCTATACATTAAATAAGTAGTTGGATAATGAAGAAAGAAAAGAAATCAATCAAGAAATAAAAAAATAAACTGCACTGATTTGAAAGTGTTTTTTTTAAATGAATACATGTAATTGAATGTAGAAAGCAAACTGATAAATGGTGATGGTAATTGTACAAATTTTGTAATAATGAGTATACTCATATTTATCCAGCAGTATCAATACATGTATTTATATTTTTTTTCTTTGGTTGAAAAATTGGCAATTTAACCAGAAGTATGAGGTTCATAAATCATTTGAATAGATGCCGGAGTTGCAGCCTTTGTTTGACCAAGAGTTCACTACCCTTTGTTTTGAAAAGTCTGGTAGATGGCAAGACTGCTATCCTCCAATTACGGAAGATTAAAAATTATCTAACGAAAGTCGAGGCTGCCTAAACTTGAATACTTATCTTACATAGTGAATGTACCCTTGATACAAAAGTATCACCCTGAAATACAGTCAATCTTTTGATACATGTATGCGTGTGATCATTATTGGCAATGGAGTTGTTTTCTTTCTACTGCAAATATCACTAGTATAAGATATGAAGTATATATATATATATATATATATATATATATATATATATATATATATATATATATATATATATATATATATATATATATTAATTGTAATATGTAAATGTATAATTTATTAGGACTGAATGACCAGTTTTGATTTATGTCATAGGAAAATGTCATATTGTAAGTGATATACTATATGTATGTATCAATGACATGTTTCAGTGGCCTCAAAATATCAGCCAAATGAAAGGAATAAATTCAATTGTATCAATGGATTTGGTGAAATTCCATATGATCACCTGAATGATGATTACTGCGATTGTGATGATGGAACAGATGAACCAGGTAATTAGTATCACCAGAAAGCTGGATTTAAGTCTAGAATAGACAAATTAAGTCACAGGCATTTGTTTCATATACAGAGCACCCCCTACTTGTGGTAAAAATAAGTAGGGGGTGCCCCATATATGAATCAAGTGCCTGTGATTTAAGTGTAGAACGGACAAACCAGGTAATTAGCCTGACTAGAGAGCTTTACAATTTTTTTTTTCTGGAGGGGGCGGTCCCAGGGCATAATTCATGAAACATGTTTTGAAGAATCATTGAGGTTAACATTTTGAAGAATCATTGAGGTTGAAATTTGGTAAAACAGGTGTCCACAAAATTCCAAAAGATATGAACCCATAAGAAATTAATGAAACAGATGTTTTTAAATTACTCTTATAGGGACTTCTGCATGTGCAAATGGAAAATTTCACTGTACAAATGCTGGTTACATCCCCAAGTATATACAGTCATCACGAGTAAATGATGGAGTTTGCGGTAAGTAGGGCAGTGTTGTATAAATGCAAATGAACATTAACACAAGACATATTAAAACATTTGGTTGAGGTAGATGTGACTTGTCAGTGTTTCTAATTACAGACTGCTGTGACGGAACAGATGAATATGGTGGCAAAATTGAATGTGTGAACAACTGCAAGTAAGGAGGAGTTTTATTTTATGATTTACGATCAAGGTGGGAAATTATGAGAGGTGTACCATAACATTTACAGTATACTAGTATTATACAGCTATAAACTGAGAAATTGACCACTACTGACATAATATTTGTTTTCTAGGGAACTTGGAAAGGCAATGCGTGAAGAACAGGACCAGAAGAGAAGATTACACGAGGAAGGATTTAAAAAGAGGGATGGCTTCATCGCTGAAGTTAAAAGAATCATGGAGGAGAAAAATGTAACTATTTGACCTGCTGAATCTTCCCTGGACAATGACATAAAGAAACAATCAAATAAATGTTGATGATGTATGCTTTGTAATACAGGTAAAAATACAAGAACTTGAGAAGGAGAAAGCAGAACTAGAAGTCAGATTGAAGGAACTTGAAGGTATGTATAAAACCTGAAGTAAGTAAGACAGGTGTCTTTCTCTATACTTAAATATTTAAACCCACGTATTTAAAGAAAATACAGTATAGTCTGGATATACTGCATGATTTTGTTTCCAAGCAAGTTGTCCAGATAAATGAAGCATCTAGATGACTGAAACAGACCTCGTATATTGTTAGATATATACATTCATGTATGTTTTGTTTACAACAAATGTTGTCCAGAAGGAGAAGGGTCCACATTATTGACTTGTGGATTAACAAAGCTCCACTTTACAAAGTCACAGTTTCTCACCCAGTACTTTAAGGCAATATATCAATTAGATATTGATGTATTGTTTAATCAACTAGGTATATAATCTACAAATCTCCCCTTGTACTTCAAAGAAATATATCATCAACTATACATAATGAAATACAAAATATTACATAGCAAGATGAAATGTCCCTGAAGTTCAATTTTTTCCTGTAACAGCTCTGAAGGCAGAACACGAGGGACCAGAAAAGGAAGCCAAAGACCGCCATGAACAGGTGTGGAAAGGTGAGTTAAGCTATAATATCATAGACTGCCATGAACAGGTGTGGAAAGGTGAGTTAAAATAAGCTATAATATCAAAGACTGCCATGAACAGGTGTGGAAAGGTGAGTTAAAGTAAGCTATAATATCAAAGACTGCCATGAACAGGTGTGGAAAGGTGAGTTAAGCTATAATATCATAGACTGCCATGAACAGGTGTGGAAAGGTGAGTTAAAATAAGCTATAATATCAAAGACCGCCATGAACAGGTGTGGAAAGGTGAGTTAAAATAAGCTATAATATCATAGACTGCCATGAACAGGTGTGGAAAGGTGAGTTAAGCTATAATATCATAGACTGCCATAAACAGGTGTGGAAAGGTGAGTTAAAATAAGCTATAATATCAAAGACCGCCATGAACAGGTGTGGAAAGGTGAGTTAAAATAAGCTATAATATCATAGACTGCCATGAACAGGTGTGGAAAGGTTAGTTAAAATAAGCTATAATATCAAAGACCGCCATGAACAGGTGTGGAAAGGTGAGTTAAAATAAGCTATAATATCATAGACTGCCATGAACAGGTGTGGAAAGGTGAGTTAAAATAAGCTATAATATCAGAGACTGCCATGAACAGGTGTGGAAAGGTGAGTTAAAATAAGCTATAATATCATAGACTGCCATGAACAGGTGTGGAAAGGTGAGTTAAAATAAGCTATAATATCAAAGATTGCCATGAACAGGTGTGGAAAGGTGAGTTAAAATAAGCTATAATATCATAGACTGCCATGAACAGGTGTGGAAAGGTGAGTTAAAATAAGCTATAATATCATAGACTGCCATGAACAGGTGTGGAAAGGTGAGTTAAAATAAGCTATAATATCAAAGACCGCCATGGACAGGTGTGGAAAGGTGAGTTAAAATAAGCTATAATATGGAAAAAAGTGGAGCAATGTTGACAAATAATGACATACACTAAGTAACAAAATATCTGACCAAACTATTTAAAAACTTTTTTTTTTAAATTAGAACAAAAAGAAGCTAAAGAGAAGGAGAGAAGTGCACTCCGGGCCAGGGAAGCCTTTGATGACCTAGATTTAAATAAAGATGGATTGTAAGTCAGAAAGCATTGTTTGTGAATTTGATGATACGTGTAATTTGTAAAATGATTCTCATATCTTTATTTTTGTGTTATTTAACTTCAGTTGTGATATTTTGGAGATAATACCTCACATGGAGTTTGACATTGATTCTAATGGCATTGTCAGTGAAGAGGAAGCTAAGGTACATAAGAAAGAACTCAACTGCTGGCACCATTTCTCTGAAATCATCAAAAAATTGTCATGATTTTTAAAAAGAAATTTCATGTTTGTTTATTTTTTTTTAAAGGAACATTTAGAAGACCAAGAAAAAGTTGATTTTGATGAATTTAGTTCTAAAATATGGGGAAACATTCAGGGTATTTACAAAAAGCTTGTCCCAGAGGAGGAGAAAAAGGAGACCCCACCCCCTGTAGAGCCTCAGGGTGAAACTGAAACCCTAGTACCACCAGAAGAACCTCAGGTAAAGGAATTCACCCACTCTGTTGTCATTATGTGCATGGTCCCCACTAACTTAACTGAACCTAGAATGCATTTCTGCATTCACTTTTCATGACATCAATGTTAATTGTTTTGGATTTCATTTATGTGGTTTAAGTAGGAAAACCCAAAATGCTGTAAAATTTCGTCCACATATAGCTGTTTTAAGTTTGAAATGGTTTGTGTGGTGTTCACTATGTCAGTGTAGTGTCTGTAGTTCTGGTATATAACCAGTGTCTCTGTTGTATGCATTGTGGTAGGCTAGGCCAGGTAGTGATTTGTCTCCGCCTCTTGTAGGCCACACCCCATGTCACACCCCCTCCTGATGAGGGTGAGGATTATGAGGATGATGACGGAGAGGATGAAGATGAGGTAAGTGTTTGATGTTGTCATTGCTTCGCTGAGGTTGTTACTAGTGCTTGCTTTTACTACGGTATTTATTGTGTGGTTTTTAGACAGGATATATAGGGGGAAGTTGAGGGTTTTTTTGGGTAACAAATAGAGTGTGTTATTTCAAGTACACGTGACCATAGATGTCATTACATTGATGTTCTAACATACTTTTTATAATGAGATTTATAATGTAGAGATCACCTGAATACAATTCAAACAGAATTAGGAGTACATGTATTCTTAATATCAGTATGCTTATTCATTTAAAGAAATGAAGAATAAAGTTATAATCACATGACATTTTTCTTCAGTTTTCTGGATCTTGTGCAAGCAATTCATCTGCATAAATGAGTAGACATGTTAATATCAGTTGACTAGTGAAAGTCAAAGCAGTAATAACCTATGGAGCCTACTATACTTTAATGATTTTTCTGTGATCAAACTTTACTGTCTAGCTACAGAATGAAATTGCTGAATGCAGGATAGAAATTAGGATGACCCATCACAATCTTGTTATCCACCAATCTTTTTAAATTAGAAGGGAAAGTCTGTGTCAGACAGTTTGTAGGTAAATTGTCAAGCATTAGGAAGAGCACTTACTTAGTTTAATGTGTTGATAGTATTTACTGTTGAATGGTTTGACTGCTATGTAGGAGTCCCATTATTAGTTGTATACATGGATCTATGGCTCCTTTTCATTCTTATCTCTCTAATTCCTCCTCACTTTCTACCCTCACAACAAGTCTAAACTACTGGAAACTACCACCAGCATGGAAAATGTGGAATTACCTGAAAATGCTGAACTTTTCCCTCCAGAGGTAAAGCTAGATTGTTCTTAAGAATTTTAGTGCTTAACAGATTGCATGTCAGCATCTTATCCAAATACACACGTGCCACAAATGTCCTGAATCATAGTTTTTTTTCTCCCCCAAATGATGCACATCAGCAAAATTTGTGATGCATGTAGAGTAATATAGGGTAGAAAGAATGATAAACTCCTGGAATACAGGTTTTTTTGTCTTGTCAAAAAGGCAGGGAATATTTGGCTGTGCATGAATGCCTTGCTTTTACCTCCATTTTGCATGCTGATTGAATGTGTGGAATCTAGCTAATGAGCAAAGTAAAAAAGAGATTTAAAATTAAGGGAAAAGATATTATTAAAGATTATATATTTTGATGTTACATGTATTTTTTTTGCCATATGTTGAATATTAATATGAATAATATAGCATAAACCAACTATTATTCGCGTCGTCTTTTATTCGCAATTCGTTTGTTTGAAATCAATTTGCTACGACTATTTTTCGCGACTAAGGAATTATTCTATACAAGTACAAAGCAAAATAAATGGTTCGCAGCGATTAATATTCGCGAGTTAAAGTAGGTCGCGAAACTCACAAATATTTCTCGCATACAAATAAAAGTTGGTTTACAAAATGTAAAAGCGTACTTCGAATGAACTAGCTTTATAATGGAAAGTGAGACATAGTCTGATGTATAGCTGATGTAACATGCTGCATGTGTTTTATGTCGTTTATCTCATGCTGTTTCTAAATCAGTCTTTGATGTGTCAGGGTGATTTGTTCTGTTAAGATGATGTGGTTTAGGCCTGTGTCCTCCAGGGTTGTAACTGTGTAGGGTTTACAGGTGTAAAAGAGGTCAGATTATGTTGGTTGTTGGTTCTAAATGTAAAGAGACTAATTGTAGGCATTAAATCTAATACATCCAAATAAATAACTGAAATTAAGATACTACTTCTAAGTGTTGCAGGTGGTGGTTTCATTGCATTAAACAAAGATCAGCTGTGGTCAGCTTGTGATGCATCAACACTCCACTTGCAAAACACTGTATTCCAAACTTTTACAAACCAGTCTTTCTGCAGCTTGGATTAATCAGGGCTAGACAAATAGCATTGCCCGATGCCCGGGACAACCAATTTTGTTTGGTGGGCAAGTTACTTGATAAGTGGTCCTTTCCACAGACAAGTGCTTTTCCCAATTAACAAAAAATCAATTACTCAAATGTTTGTTTTACTGCTGTTAAAATAGATAATGAATCACAGCAGAGTATCTGTTTTTGATGCAGTTGATTACACACAGTCATGAAGTCGAACCCTCAGTCGACATTCAGGAGTGTTTTTCATAATAAAATAAGTAGATATTTTTTTCATTTAAATAATACCGAGAAATTTATTTGTACGTGTACATGCATACACATTGACATGTATCTAAAATTTTAAGCTTTACAATCAGTGCTTACCGCACATGCTTAGAAGTCTCCCTAGAATTAGAAATTTCACCCTAAATTTCTCCTTGGGAGAGTTAAATGATTTGGGGTCTAGATTAGTCCTAAATTTTAATAATAATGCTTTAATTTTGTGTTATTTAAGTAAAGGTTGGACAAGCATATTTTTTTGGTAGAACAAGTAATTTTTACGATGGTAACCTGCCTGAGGGCAAGTCCTGAAAAATTCTATTTGGCTTCCCCTAATCCCTATATACATGTATATGGTTTATGTGTTGATTTACTTTCTATCATTAAAATGTGATTGGTTAAGTAGACTGTATTTTTAATTGTAGGAAGAAGAACATGTGGATGAAGAAAAAATGCCTGAGTATGACGAAGAAACTAAAGCCCTTATAGCAGGTATATAGTTCTACAGGAATTAGTCAAGTTATATTTACTACATCTGTTGAATAATGCTTTGACCTTCTGTATTGAGGGTATAGTGTTAACATTCAATATAATTGTTTGTATTGAGAATTCAAGAAATGGAGAATATTTCAATGTGTAAATCATTATGTAGATGCAGAAGGTCTAAATATGTGCATGGATTCAAACATTAGTAAAACTCGAAGAAATTTTACACCTAAGTAACATATTGCATGATTATAGATAATATCTATGTATTTATTTTTATCATATCTCAAATTGCAATTCTTATTGACAAAATATCTTTATTACTAAATTTAAATCAATTTTTTTCTTGTTTGAACTGCATCCAAATGGAATACTTCTGAGAGTTTGATAGTGCCAATTTCACTTAATTATTATTTTATTATTTTTCAAGAAAGACGAGTTCATGAGTATCTCACACATTGAAAGCTAATAAAAATCATGAGTATCTCACCCATTGAAAGCTAATAAAAATCAAATCTGGTCATTTCAGCTGCTGATGAAGCACGGAAAAAATATGAGGAAGCAGACAAACGCTCAAAAGACATTGATGGGGAGATTACGTAAGTTTTGTGTAAAATTAATTGTGATACATGTATAAGGCAGATCTCTTTTTCATTCCCCCCTGCAATAAGTTTGCTGTTGAAAATGAAGAATGTGGTCGTCTGTGCAACTTATCCCAATACAAAATGTTCCAAGCTTAATTTGTAATTATTTTAATTGAATGACTGGACAGAAAACATAAGCACTACCGAGGGAGTTCTGTTGTATTGAGGTATTACATTATACATAAAGTCTGCCATTACAAGAACAGCACAAAGGAAGACAGATATCTGACATGTGCAGGAAAATAAACGTTAACGGGCAGTTAGTAGTTAATTATTTATTCCCCAGAGTGTGACTGAAAGCATCATTAATGACATACTGTTGTCAGTTGATTAACATTCTCCTTTACATTGATGTGGGAGGCAAGCTGCAGTTTTAATCATGTAACATTAGATAAAAAAGAACAATTCTTATTTTCGTCACAAACATGGTAATGCCTTAACTAGCCAAACCAAGTACTTTCTATACATATATAGTCATTAAAGCTAGCTATTAAAAATACACCTCATTTTATTTTATCCAAGTGCATTAATGAATGTTTTGGCTGATTTCATCCTTGGCTAATTTGCAACTGTGTATTGTACCTGTTATTTGATTTCTGTATAAAGATGGGGCAATAGAGGAAAGATTTCCTGATCTTTGTAAACTGAAATGTAATCATTTATTACATGTAGTGTAATGTTTTATTATGTATCTACTGTAAAGTACAGTTCTTTACACAAAAAAAGAGTTTCTTGGTTTCATTTTAGTTGAGTACATGTATTGGGCTGAAATTAAAATCTTTTTGTTTGACTTTTTTGAGGGAGCAGACGGAATATTTTTCTGTCCATATCAATTTGTTTTCTACCTCAATTTTTTTTTTTCTAATAGAGCTCTCAAATTTTTGAATTGTAGCAATTCTTTAGGGTTTATCAAATGGGGAGATAAAATTTTTATTTAGGCTCTAAAGCCACAAGTCAGCCTTGTTAAAAGTGGCATTTTTAAAAGTATATTTGTTGTAAATTTCAGGTCTCTGACTTCATATTTAAACACAGACTATGGTAAAGATAAAGAATTTGCAGTTTTACGAGACCAGTGTTATGAGTATACAGACAGAGAATATACATACAAGTTATGTCCCTTTTCTACTGCTTCTCAACGACCCAAGTCAGGAGGCCACGAAACAAATTTAGGGTGGGTATTTACATGTGTGTTTTTCTATATGATACAAAGTTGTTTTATTTTCTTGTAAGAATTCTTTTGGCCCAAAATTGACATTTTTTTCATTTGGTTTATTTTGGTCAAGATGGCTTTTGATTCATTTAATTGTACACATATTGTGTTTTATAAAGTATGTGTTATATGTGTGTATTTGTTATTGGCAGTCGCTGGGGGAGATGGGAGGATGACCATTATAAAACAATGGTCTATGACCACGGACAAAATTGCTGGAATGGACCTGACCGATCCGTCAAGGTATCCATAGAAACGTCTTTTCCTTTCACACACAGAAAATATTTAAATCAAAATAAATGTGTTGTATATGAATTTAATTGTGAAGAAAATGGTACAAAAAAAAAATTGATTTAAATAGAATTTTTGTTCTGTGTTTTCCATGATTACATGTCTTTATTCTAGGTCCATATAACGTGTGGTCCGGAGCACCAGCTGACAAATGCCTATGAGCCGAGTCGCTGTGAATACGCTTTTGACTTTGTTACCCCCTGTGCCTGTAATCAACCTCCTCCAGTCCATGATAAAGACCCTCATGATGAGTTATAGAACACCAGCTCTACTCACACATCAACTGTAGAGTTTTCTGAAGAAAAAAAATTCATGACTTGTCTCCAAGAGAATCTTAATGTGATCTGTTTAAAACACTCTCTAATGACAATTCTTAAAGATTTTTCCTAAATATCATCCATTCATACTCATTTTTTTCAGAATAAAAATAAAATTGAAAGTGCTTTTCCAATTTTTATTGATGAAATGATAGAAAGGTTAGAAATATGCATTTGGCTCAAAATAAAAGACACCACAGAGTCTGCACATCTGTTTCATATTTAGATGTTTTACTGACTATAGACCATAATGGCCAACTAACAACTTAACTGTATGACAAACGATTTTTATTTGATACACAAGAGCATGCTCTGAGTACATGTATGATCAATTTTTAAATCTAGACAGGCTAGTGACAAGTAAGTTGATGTTACAGAGATTTCAACTACAGGTACCTCATTTAAAGTCAGCATTTCAGAAATTCTGATTGTTTGCAAATCTTGTCTATAGATTATTCTGTCTACTTGATCAGTACATAGGGCTCACGACAGGTGTGACCTGTCAACAGGGGATGCTTACTCTTCCTAGGCACCTGATCCCACCTCTGGAATTTCCAGGAGTCCATGCTATGCTCTGTCTGCACTAAAAGCCAGGTTTCAGGTTCTTTTTTGGTAGCCTCTTTTACTTTTATATCTTACATAATTTTACTTCTATTTATTTTTCAAAGAATTTGATCAATTTGGAACCGAAGTTGAATGTCAAAATGGTTTTAGACTGTGATTCATTAAGATAAAAATAAGATTTTTTTTGCCCTTACTGTGCAAATTGGGGGAATTTTCATAACCGGTCCTTGGCTGAAGATCAAGTTATGCATGAGAGGTGGCGCTAATACTGTATAGACATATTCATAAATTTTGTTTTTGTATATTAACTGATTGAGGATTGGGGTGGGGGATATATGTCTTAACTTTTTATTTTAGAAAGAATGGGCCAAAGGAGATAACTCCTAAAAATTCCCTTTTTCAAACTATTAATGGTCTTTTGGATAATCACATGGCGCAGTAGATGCTGTTCACTGTTCAAAGGCAGTCAGTGCTGAGTATAAGTCCAACTTTGAAGTCTTCCACTGGCAATTTGTGAAATACTGTCGAAGGTACGTAAAGCAAACAAACTACTACACAAGGATAACATCTTGCCTGCTGCGTAGATAGTACATGTAGTCATGTTCAATACTGTAAATTAGGTAATATCGAATAGTTGAACGTTTGACGATTTGTTAATTTTTTTTTTAAAATTGCTTAGTGCTTGGAAACTGATAGTTTACTATATCGCTCATATACAAGGATGAAAAAGCTGACACGAGTGGGAACTTGGACAATGATTAGTTATCTACCACAGGAGCGGTCGATCTAGTTACAAAGTGCACATGGGAAAATGTGAGACGTTATTTCTTTATGATTCGTCAATGATATCATGTAGAAAAAAAAATTATGTGTAAAATATTTTTAAAACTTGCTTTAAATTAAGTTTTAATTGTTATTATTTATGTCTCAATTTGATTTTTATTTTTTATCAGATAATTACGGAAGCCCATTTAGGACCTATCAAAAAATATTTTCGAATTCGATATAACGAATTGTAGAATTTGTTATAACAAATTTAATTCGTTATAACAATTTCTTTGAATTCGTTATAACGAATTTAAGGGGGCCGACTGGGGTTTTCATTGCGCAATACTTCGTGCAGCATAGTAAAATAAAGCGTATTTACTCTATTGAAGCATTTATTTTTACATAATTTATAAAAATTAACAAAATTAAGAAATCTCAGGTTAAAAAATCTAATTACGCTTTTAAATAACTGATTTTTTAATCGATTTTTCAAGTGATGGGTAGATAGACGTCGTAATGGTGTGTTTTTGACGTTATGATTAATCGGAGTTCTTAAAGAGGGGTAATAAATTATGTCATAAAATAAAAAGTATAAAATAGATGCTCTTGAAATTTTAAACATAGGAAATTGAGAATCTCACAATCACTTTTATTATTTTTCATATAAATCTGTGGTATCTGTCATGTTTTGTAGTGCTCCATTAAAACAGGAAAATATCATGAATTTTGACATTTTGAGATGCCCCCTCTGGAAACCAGACGGTAGAATTTAGTGTTTCTTGCATAAAATGTACAATGTAGTATTGCTCATCAAATACTATAATTTGAGCAAAAAGTCTATAGTAGCATTTGTATAATTTACTTCAAAGTGCGAAAAAATAGTATATTTCTATATAATCCTATAGTAAATGTAACTATATTTTGAGATGGTCCCTTAAAAGTAACCAGACGGTAGATTTTCACTAAACTTGGCATGTATACTTAGGTCAATGTAAGGTACATATGGTATAAAATTAAAGAGTTTCTCTATAGTAGTTTTCACACAATAAAACCCCAGTCGGCTCCCTTAATCTGTTATAACAAATTTGTTGAATTCGTTATATAGAAAAATATGTATTAATTTGATACGAAAGCCATGAAGGGACATGAGGATTTTCAAAAAAGTGTAAAAGTAAACCGAGATCTCGATTTATATAATCCGTTCTCTCGGATTGACAATCTGTGATAACGAATTACTAATTCGTTCTCACAGATTATCAATTCGTTCCCTCAAATTACACAATCCGTTCTCTCGGATTGTAATTCGTTCTTTCGGTTTAAACAATTCGTTCCCACGGTTTAATTGTTCGTTCTCTCAGATTATCAATTCGTTCCCTCAAATTACTCAATCCGTTATCTCGGATTGTAATTCGTTCTCTCGGTTTAAACAATTCGTTCCCACGGTTTAATTATTCATTCTCTCAGATTATCAATTCGTTCCCTCAAATTACTCAATCCGTTATCTCGGATTGTAATTCGTTCTCTCGGTTTAAACAATTCGTTCCCACGGTTTAATTATTCGTTCTCTCAGATTATCAATTCGTTCCCTCAAATTACACAATTCGTTATCTCGGATTGTAATTCATTCTCTCGAGTTAAAAAATTCATTTTCTTGGAATGTTTGTCGTTATCGGGAGGAATATGATTTGTTTTACAGGTACGAAAGCCATGAAGGGACATGAGGATTCTCAAAAAAGTGTAAAAGTAAACCGAGATCTCGATTTATACAATCCGTTCACTCGGATTGACAATCTGTTATAACGAATTACTAATTCGTTCTCACAGATTATCAATTCGTTCCCTCAAATTACACAATCCGTTCTCTCGGATTGTAATTCGTTCTCTCGGTTTAAACAAATCGTTCCCACGGTGTAATTATTCGTTCTCTCAGATTATCAATTCGTTCCCTCAAATAACACAATCCGTTATCTCGGATTGTAATTCGTTCTCTCGGTTTAAACAATTCGTTCCCTCGGAATGTAAATCGTTCCGACGAATTAATTTTTCGTTCTCTCAGATTTTTAATTCGTTCCCTCTAATTAGACAATCCGTTATCTCGGATCTGTATCCAGATCTGTGAGGCATGTTGCAGTGTATATAAAAAAAGGGGGGATAAGAAAAAAATTAAATATTTTTTCAAAATAAATACAAAACCTCCAAGACTCCCCCACATCGAAAAATCCTTTTCATTGAGAAAGGTGGGGGGGGGGGGGTGTCGATCGGTTTTGTTTCCTCTCCTTTTTTTAAATGAATTATTTGAAATAGCTAGATCTACTGTAACAAAAAGAAGTACTCAGTATGTAAATGTCTATGCGAGGGCGGGATTAAAGTTGAAGTGGGGATAGGGGCTTTGAATGAAAAAAAATTAAATTCAATGCTAAATCAGCAACATATCTACACTATACTGAAAACAGAGGGCAGGTACTAAGGCCTGCTGATATGACATGGAATTATTTTGAATGTATCTCAATGAAATAAAAAGCAGACAAAGAACTAAGTACGTTACGTATTATTCGAAGGCCCACAGTTTTTCGTATTTTGATATACAAGTTTGCAAAAATATAACTACTATGTACATGTAGAAGAAGATTGGTAGTTTTGATATATGCATAACAAAATTTCGCAAGTGCGTTGATTAGAGGTATTCACAGGATTTAAACATCCGTTCTTTCCGGAAATTGCTATTTTTTCCACTATTTTTACAACAAATTCCCAAAATTGAAGTAGTGCACACCCCTCGAGCAAAATAAAACATATATATTTGAAAATAATTTGATAAAAGACAAGCAAAAATAATGCTAAGAATTTGCTCGAGGAATGTGCAGTATGTTAATTTTGACATTTCATGACTGTTTCCGGTGGCGGATACCAAGTTAGTCGAGAGGCGAGTTCTTATCTAGGAGCAATAATAATGGTGTATTTCGTGTAATAATGTTAAAGAAATAAATTTATCATTGATTGACCATATTTATATTGCTCATACAAATATATTTGTCATGAAAATAGCATAAAAACTAAAAAAATGTTTTATAGAAATGACAAATAACGATATTTTTTTAAACAACTAAGCCTTACACTTGCTAAATGTTGCCAGCAAGAAGGGAAGAGATCAATTTAATATACTAAAGCAATAAAATATAAATGTTCAGCTGACAAATGAAATCACTAAAAGTATTATTGCAGAAAAAAATGCTTAAATCCTAGCCTTTATTTCATCTTGCTACTGAAACGGTCTAGTTGACGTCTGCATGTATGTAAATAAATTACGCAAGAAACTCAACGATGACGTCACAATAGGTCCCCTTGCAACACATTCTTTTTGGAAAGGGGGGGGGATAAATTCCCAATCTTTTGGATGCTGTTGGTCAGGACTGATTAGATTAATTAATATTCTGAAGTCTTGTATTTTCAGTCATTTATACAAGTGCACGGTTGATGTTTCAATATATTTTTATATTTTATAATACACGCACAATATAAGCGTGTTGCATCTGCATCTGTATATTGTAGACATTGCCGTTAATATTATGCAAAGCAATATAAAAAACAAAGGCTCATATTTCACCTAGTAAAAGAGCCACAGCGCATTTGATAGGTATTTTCGCCTACTCTACTGGTGATTCCTTAAATTCATTGTTTAACCAAAATTTTGTCATACAATCTTAGTTTATACATGCGTAAAACCATACCACACATTAATGATATTTCAATATTAATAGTTTCCTCATATGATAAATATGAAAATTATCCAGTTTG